TTTTTTATGTTTCATATTAAAACAATACAACATTAATCAAACAAACCTTTGACTTTGAACTTTATATTTCAACTTTGCATCGTTGTGCCACGCTCTTTTTCTTTCTTGAATTTTAGGCCGAGTACCCAAATTTTCAATTACATGTTTGGCACTTAAAATTTGCTCGTAATATGCATGTTTTAGCTTGGGGCCATCAAACACAGATAATCTTACATGTGTTTTTTCTCTCATTTTTTATTTTCAGTTAATTCAGTTAGTGAAAAAGGGGACTGTCCAAGATGTTAATTTGCTCTCTCATGCTTTGGAGCTTAAAGCATACTTAGAGGAACCCGTGCCTGCAGTTTTACCATCTTCAGATATCCTAAGATCAAATGATTGCTATAAGTTACGACATGATTTTATCCTTTCTGACAAGGAGGCTGTTGAGCTATATTGGGAGACCTTGGAGTATTGCTTTGCATCTGCTGATCCATCATATTCACGACAGTGCTTCCCTGGTTCAATTGTAGAAGAGGTCTGCAAATATTTGATATTCCTCTGAAACATTTTTCATTTGCATTTACATCTTTTGCTTTGACTTTATATAGATGATGTATGCTTATTTGATTTCATTTTATGGAATTGTAGTGCCTTTATAGTTCTATGATATTGGTCTACTTGTATCATATTTCCTAGGCTTATTAATTTATTTATAATATAAATATTTTATTCGACTTACTGAATCTCTTTCTCATGCAAACATCTACTTGATGTACTGATAAAAACATGATTCTACCAATTAATTTAGAAGGTTCAGTGCATGACTTGTTCTTAATTGCTTAAAGAAAAGTTAAGGTGAGTGAAATTAAGCAGATGTTTGCATGGGATTTCACGGGTTTTGGAAGGTTTTTTTTTTTTTTTCATTTCTGTGACTCAGTCCACTTATCTGAAATTACAATGGTGGCAATCTAACTATTACTATGTGTATGTCCTCTATAAGTTGAACTGGAGAGCTAATTTGTTTCATTTTCCTTAATATGGTTTGTAGATCGTTCTTATTATTTATTGCTTTTTCAGGACAAGGTTTTAGCATGTTTAGTATAACATTTCATATGTATTACTAAAGAACAAAACCATGTCCTTTGATATGATAGTCATTTTTTTTACTATGGTAATTGATTTGACAGAACATTAAAATGAACTATATTGGCACAGCATAGGGTTGTTTATAATAGCATGCCATGTAAAATTAATATAATTTGAACATTCTTTTAAAAGCTGGACAAATCTTGATTTATTAAATTATCTAGAAAAGGTGTCCAAGGGCTCATGAATATTAACCTATGAATTGGAATAGCATTTTGAAGAGAATGGATTAGGTGGTTAAGTGAAATTACTTTTGTGGAACCTTCATCTCTATTTTGCCACCCTTTGTTTTGTGTTGATTTTATTTTCATGTTGTCTCAGCCAAGATCGAGTCGATTCGAACTCAATTGATCATCATCGACCATCAATTTACTCAAATTGTACCTAAATTTAATCAAATTAAATTCAATTTTATCAAATTAAACTCAAATCGATCAAGACCGACCCAAATCGATTCAAATCATACCTATTTGAGCCTTGTCGAACCAAATTTGATGCAATTTGATGCCGATTCGAGTCTAATTTTGCAAAATTGGCTCGATCGGACCCAATCAGATCCAAATTGATTTGGGTCAAGTCTACTCCATGCTCAATTTCAGCCCCTTTTGTCAAATTCTAGTTCAATTTGGCTTCCTAAATCAGGAAATCAGATGGATGGCTCAGATTTTCTTAAAATCTCAGCTCAACAACCTTGTACCAATCCCAGATTTCTTGGGAATTTTGGCAGCCCGAGGCTTTCAGTTTGTAGAATCTGAGGCGGAGCGCGGGACAGAGCCAGAGACGGGAGACAGAATCGGGTTTTGTGTCTTCTCCATTCGGTTCTTACTTGTTGTATGTGTCTTGGACAGAGCAAGAGAACAGGTGCGAAAGACAAAGTGGAAGCCTCCCGTGCGCTTGCTTGCATTTCGTCTGAGCATTTCCAGGCATCTGACCCTGTTCGGCCTACATCTTTACAGTCATTTCTTATTTTATAATTTCTAGTAATCTGTTTGATTGTGTGATTGAAAATTGTTGAATCTAAAAAATATTTTCTTGCTAGTTATTTTCATAATCTCTACTTTTAAAACTTGATATAGTGTATTCAGTTGAATTCATTAGGTAGCATGTTGATCTTTTAGCATTATTGTTGCATGTGTCACTTGAAAAAAGTATTTGCATGGAAATTTTAATAATGGAAATTGTAAGCCTGCCAACGATGTGAATTAAATATATGTGAAATTCATACTAGATGATAAGGTAATTGTCCCATTGAACGTTGAAAGGTTTTCTACAAGCATCGTTTTAAAATTAACAGCTTGCAAAATGGGACTATATAAAGTTATTCAATGTATTGAGATGAATGCTTAGGACACGATTTCTTTGGTTCATTCCATGCAATTATTTATGTCATGACCTTATGGTTTTCCTCTATTTTGTTCCTTGCAATTCGGTTTGTGACAGTAATGCATTTTATTGCCTACTTGATTGATGGTATTACACAAGCTCTTGTGGTTCTTTTCAATTTGGATGCGGTTTGGAATTTTGAAAATTTTATTGTAGATTAAGGGAGGTTTTGTGATTCTAAATATAACGGTATGAGGCTTGTAGAAGACTTTCTATTTGATTCTACTAGATTTTTGCATTGATTGGATGAATTTTTGGTTGGATGCAATTCCTTCTAGCACAATTTTGGTTGGTGCAATGGAGATTCAAGATATTTGGGAGAATGTACCTTGTTGTAATTAGCATGAGGTTTGAAATTTTTTATGATCTCTCCCTGTCATACTCTTATTTACTAATTTGACTTATTGGTCTAATTATGGATTGAATTTTGTTAAATATGGTATACTCTCTTTTATGTCAAGTGCAATCCAAACATATATTTACGACGAGGATACCCAAGCACCTCAGGTAAATCTCCTATCAAAAAATTTTTAAACTTTGGTAGAGAATAATGGAAATCATGAACTAAATAAATATTTAGTAATCTCTAATACTTAAGATTAAACTTATACTACAACAACACCAACATCAAGCTTTTATCCCATTGTGGGGTCGGCTATATGAATCATTTTTCTCCTTTGTACTATGTTAAAAGTTAAATTCTCATTTAAATGTAATAAAGAAAGATTATTTCTAATTTTTTCTAACCATGTCCCTTTAGGTCTATCTCTACCTTTCTTAGCATAAGTCAAATCCAATACATTTACTTTCCTAACTGGGTCATCAGAAGGCCGCCGTCTATGTTGCACCGATACGGATACGGCGACACAACTACGACACGATACAGATATGGGACACGTCAATTCTTACAAATACAGGATATGGGTACGACGCGGACACAACATTATATTTTATAAATTATACATAAAAATTAAGAAAGCAATCAAAGCATAATATTTGAAATTACAAAAAAAAATGAAAGCAGCATCATTTGTAGCCTTGTAGTTTATAATATCAAAACAAGAGGAAGCATTAAATGCCTAGTACAACAACAAAAGCATAAACATAAATTGTCTAGCACATGAAGTTTCAGCTATTCAATAGAAGGAATGATATGATTAGCTTCTTCAGTGGTTTGTCTTTGAACTTCTATATCATCTTCAATAAATATCATAGCTTCTAATTCAGGCTCATCAAGTGAAATATTAGCAATTTCTAATATTCTCATATCATCAAGAGACTCAAATCCATCTCGGAAACGAGAGAACCTCACTCGCAGCTGCGGAAGTAAATACGACACGTCTTTTTTTTTTTCAGATTTTTTTTTGTTTTTCGACAGGCACGCTTGTCGGATACGCATGTCCTTTTGAAATTAAATAGTATTTTAATTGGATACGGCTTTGCCTTATCCGACACGTATCGGTGTCATATCAGAGGCGTATCTGTGTATCGATGTATCGGATACAACACGCCTTCATAAATAGGTGTATTGGTGCAACATAGGCCGCCGTTTTATGTGATTAAACCATCTAAGGCGACTCTCTCTAATCTTATCTTCAATTGGAGCTACTCCAACCCTTTCATGTAAATGTTCATTTTGTTTCCCGTCTTTAAGAGTAAAGTCACTCATCCACCTAAGGACCCTCATCTCTGCAACGCTTAACTCAATATGCTTCTCTTTTAATGGCCAACATTTTGCACCACAAAGCATTGCAGGTCTAGTCACCATCTTATAGAATTTTCACTTAAGTAAGATTAAACATATACTAATGAAAATCAATTTTCCTAAACCTAAAGATTGAAAGAGAAAAATTGTTACCAAGATCAAGCTCCTTAAGTATGGATTGGTTGAATGAACACTTGAAATTTTCCTCAAAAACTTTTCGAATAAAGATTTTGTATTGAAATCTTTTGATCCATAAATTTGTTAGCACTTAGAAGAAGATATGGAATGTATTTATGAGCATCACATTAGTTCACAGCACTTTTGAATTGTCCATAAACAAAATCCAAGATGATTTAGCAATTTAAATTTTGAAAAATGACTAACTGGATCATTGTATATATGACCAGTTCAATCTTATCTGAACTTCTCACAGTTGTATGTATGATTTGTTACATGTATGTGTGATTCTAAATCAAGAATTCTGGCAAAAAATTGTAATGACATCTGTAACAAGATTCTTTACATTGATTATCAACTTCTATATTTTTGACGATTAAGTCATATCAGATTGTATGCACAATCACCCAAATGATTAGGATATTATGCACAATCCTTTAGAGTTCAGAAATTCATAGGAAACTTAAATCTCTTGTTGTCACGTTAATTTTAATTGCCTATCAAGTAATTCTAAATGATTTTGCAAATTATTTCTTCAATTTATATAATAACTTAAGAGTAATTTTTTTTTCTCATAATAAAATATAAAATGTTTTTATTGTGTTCTTCATCATTGGATCTTTGATTAATCTAAATCTAATAATTTTCATTGAAATCTAAATGCACTCTAGACTAAGGAAACCTTGGATAAACATTTTTGCTTGTCTTTTGATTCTCCTCTTGGTCTATCTCCAAGTAACTAAAACTCAAATTTAATCTAATGAACATCATCATCACCGTGGTTGCTACTATATTCAATTACCCATTAGAAATACTTAGCAAGTCATTTGATGACATTACACTATACTTGTTATCATCAAATTAATATTGTCACGCATGAATTACCTAGTCTTATGAGGTCAATAGGTTTTCTCAAGATGTTTATGGCTATGATTTGTCATTACATTTTACATTAGTACTGGAATGAAGTAAATGATATTTATATCGAAATTTTATTTATAAAAAAGAAGAGAAATGGGTGGAATTCCTCTAACTATTTTTGAAGGACTAAAATAATTTTGGATTATATTAAAGTAACAATTTAGCCCTCTGACTCTTTAAATACGAATCAAATTACTTTTTCCGTGAGATCATCTAGGTCCCTATTTAAAAAGTCAATAGATTAAAATTACACTTATAAATAGTCAATGACCATTTGTTTTTTCGTTAAGAGTTAGGGGACCATTTTGATCATTATCTCTAAAAAAATGAGCATTAGAAATTATTTTGAAGACTTTGTCCATACAACTATAATATAGGCAAGTGTTGGTTGTTTGGTATGTGATCCCATGGATTGAGTTCATCAATGAAAATTTCTAAACTACTTACAAGTTTTAAGTTGACCATCGTTTGATGGATCAATACCCGTTAATAAAAAGCTTGCACTTTTATTACCTTAGTGGCAACTTGGCTTGTGTCATATTAATGGTAATATTGATATTTGTGGTCAATGGAATATCAATAACTTTCATATGATATGATGATTAATTTGTTTCCATTGGCACGTAATTTGTTTATTTCCATTGGCACATAGTTTTTTGTTTCATAGACCTAGCATTGCCTAATGACAAAGTAGGGCTAGTATTATGGTCAAAGCTTGAAACTCGCTCGATGTTTGGCCAAATCTTTATTGAATCAATGTTGAAATTGATGTGCTTTGACTCAAATATGGCTCGCTTAGAGTAAATTTGATTAATTTCAAAATCAATTCGATATGTGATATATGTACATTTTTGTTTGTGGTTGGGTGCACCATCATCATCACTACGGTTCTACATGCATAAATAAATTTATTTTACTTATATACAAATGGTAATTTTGATTGATGATTTCAAATATTTTTATAAAATTAATTTTCTTTATTTGAATAAGTCAAAATCAATCATTTTGACTGAACTTGAACTCAAACTCAAAAGTAGAGGTCCTATGGACCAGTTAGAAAATAACTTGGCCAATCCAACCACATGTTGTGTTGTTTCGGGCTTTCATCCAAGCAGCAAATGCATAATCATGTAAATTTCAAGTATAAATTTTAGGATTTATTCCTAAACTCTTGCTTAGGCTTGGTTGGCTAGCTTGTTTTCTTCCCATTGAAAAGGAGATGAATATCCACTTTGTTTGCCTACAAAAAAGTACAAAATTTATGTTATTATTCTTTACCATCTTGACATCCTTGAATTTGATTGGATTATATATTTATAGGTATTTCATCGCCGTTCATGGTCTTCTATTCGAGTTATGACTACTGAGCAAAGGCTGGAGTTGCTTAAGCATTTTAAAACCGTTGATCATACAAAGAAAATTCCATTCAGTGACTGTGTAAAGATTTCTAGGGAGCTGAACCTCACATTGGAGCAAGTCAGTATTCAGATCTGAACAGTATCTTCTATACTTATTTAATTGAATTTTCTTCTGCTGAGACGCAATTTTTTTTTCAATTATCAGTACTATATGATATTTTGGCCTCCTTATTGCTATATATTCTGCAACCTCTCAATCTCTCTGAGCCTGGAACACCAAAGTAACTTTTGCCAACAAATGTAGCTTTCTATGAAATCGTTCCATTGTGACATGCTTTTTTCTACTGCATGTGGCAATGTAATCTGAGCACTGTATTGATGTATGGAAGAAATATAGCGGGATTTAATGGCTCTACAGTTTTATTTGTTAAGCAAACTGTCAAATTGCGTCTGAAGTTTCCAAATACTTGGGAATTACCTGGAGTGGTTTCTTAGGTTTGTATTTGATGTGTCATAGTTAAATTCCAAATAGCTTTCTCCTAGTATAATTTTCCATTGGTCTTTGCGTCATTTCCCCATGAGCTGAAACCAGATGACACGTCTAAAACTCAGTTTTTTTTTTCATTAAATTAATTATCATCCTTAAGAAGTACCCTTGGTGCACTATTCTCTCTCTTAAAGTACTATAATTGACCCGAATCCTCCTTATATGCTAGACTCTTATCTTCTTCGTATATTGATGGCGTCATGAATGTTTTTGTGTGGAAAGTTAAACTTCTGGAAATTTGCCGTTCCTGGGAATCCATCTTTTGCTTTTTCGCCTCTCCCTATCCGCAATAGGGATCCCACCTATTGCCCCTGCGTATGCTGAAGATCTCGCCCAGCCAGCTACCTTCATTTCTCTGCCCAAACAATTGGATGTCACTAGCTATTGTAGCAAGTGATCAAATTTCACCTTATGCTCTTAATGCTACATTGATCTATGGGATTACTACTGTTACCTCACCAATCCACGTGCTAATTTTATTTTAGTTAGTATATATCATTTCCCTAAATGTTATGTGTTTCTTACTACTGGACCTCCTGGACTCTTATAAAATAAGACAAATAATGAATTGAAAGTCAACCAACTTTCTCCAATTATTTTCATTGTGTTAGAGCTTAAGGCATTTATTCTTTTACTATTTCTATAAACTATAGCCTTCATCGTTATATTGTCTAGAACTTGCAAGCTTTTATTATTACAAGTATCTTCCTTCTACCTTATCTTCTCATTTGTATTCTTCATCGTTGCAGCCTTATTTCTTTTCTTTTTTCTCCTTGCAACCAATTTCTACCACATTTCTTTTCCCATGGATGACAACAATAATCATGCTTCCATGGTCTTAGGTTAATTTGGAATCACGACCAACAAGTCCAACATAAGAATTACAAAACATCCATTAAGCATATTATTTGAATGAAAAGAATTTCTACAAGAACCGGGCTTAACCGGTTCAGCAGAACGGCTCTAATCAAATGGGAATGCAAGCAGGAGAGCAGAACCGAGCATATCAGCGGAATCAAGAGAAGAGAATGGCGAGGGAAGGGCAAACACTGATGAATGATGAATTGCAGTGATTTAGCCCTCAGAGTTTATTTTAGTTCGATGACGAAGGTTTGTGATAGGAAATACTTGAGTTCGCAAGTAACCCTATCACTAATTGGAGAAAAACAACAAGAATGAAGCAAAATCTGGGTGAAATCAGCCCCAAAGCAATAAATTGCAACAAACGAAAGGAAACAAACCCAACAAGAAAGTATGATACAAGTGATCCTCTATTCTAGAGGAGGATCGTTCTCTCCCAATCTCTAGACACTAGGTTTAGAGCCCTCAAACTCCAAGAGAAACTTCAATCTCAGCATTCCCTCCCTTGCCCCTTACCTATCCTATTTATTAAGCTCTCCACCGCCCAAGACCTTCCTAAAAAAATAATTTTCAAATAAATTTAAACTCATTGGGCCCCACATATAGGCAGCAAGCCTATTTAGGCATTAAGGGAGGCCTTGTTCCTTAAGGCGGGCCTCAACCAAGTTGAGGCGCAAGCCTCATAAGAAAAACTTGAGGCATAAGCCTCAAGGCGCTTTTCACTGGAATTGCGCAAAGGCGGGCCTCAAGGCGAGCCTCATATTGCGCAATTTTAAACCATGGCCATATCAATACCGCCCTCCCAAAGAATCACCTTGTGCTCAAGGTGAAAATAAGTTAACTGCTGTTTTATCCTCTCATATGGCTCCCACGTGGCCTCGTAATCCTGGAGGTTCTTCCATTTGATCAACGCCTCCTTAGTTCCATCATTGTTTTGGCGAACCCCTTCCAGCTCTACGGGTTCTAGAATCGCCTCTAAATCCTTAGTAAGTGTTGCTTGTAGCCCGGGACTGGCTGTGTAGTCACCAATGTCCTTCCTCAACTGCGAGACATAAAAACCGGATGTAAAGTTGATGCTGATGATAATTTCAGTCGATATGCTACTGCCCCAATCTTCTCCAGCACTTCATAAGGTCCAAAATACCTTGGAGCCGGCTTTTCATTCCTCCTGTTGGCGACTATCTTATGTCTATACGGTCGGAGCTTCAAGAACACCCTCTCTCCTACTTCAAATTGGATGTCCTTCCTATGCCCATCTGCTTGTTTCTTTGTTGAGCTCTCATTAAATGTCTTTTCAATTCCTCTAGTACTCGATCCCTCTCCTCTAAGTACTTCTTTATTGACGAAACAGGGGTACTGCTACTTCCAAAGTGCAACAAGTGTGGGGGATCGTGGCCGTACAACACCTTGAATGGGGTCATCTGTGAAGCAAAATGAAAAGACGTGTTGTATCAGTACTCTGCCCAAGATAGCCACTTGGCCCATAGCTTGGGTGTCTTTGATACAAAGCATCTTAGGTATGTCTTCAGTCTCCTATTGACCACCTCCGTTTGGCCATCTGTTTGTGGGTGGTAAACAGTGCTCCTCTTCAGCACTGTCCCCTATAACCTGAACAACTCCCTCCAAAAATGACTGAGGAACACCTTATCTCTGTATGACACGATTGCCTCTGGTATCCCATGCAATCTGACCACCTCTCTAAATAATGCTGAAGCCACTGTCATCGCGGTGTAAGGATGTTGGAGGGGGATGAAATGAGCGTACTTGCTCAATCTATCCACCACCACCAAGATCACTATGAAGCCTTCTGAACGAGGCAGCCCATCTATGAAATCCATGGATATCTTCTCCCATACTCGTCCCAGTAACGCTAATGGCTCTAGTCCCTCTGGTGACATAGCCAAATATTTGTTCATCTAATAGATCTCACACCTTGAAACCATCTATTCTACATCTTTATGCGTTCCCTTCAGTAAAGCTCAGCCGCTAGTCTCTTGTAGGTCTTCTGCACTACTGAATGGTCCCTGACTGCGCTTCCATGAAATTCCTAGAGTAAATTTGGGATGTTGATCGAGGTACGGGGCATCACAAACTTCCCTGGTCCAGCAGTCTGTCTCCCTCTAATGAGTACCCTGGATGGCTACTCTCCTTTTTCAACAATTCTGACATGATCCTTCCCAATTCTTCATATGTAGCACTTTCTTCCATGATGGCCTCCCAGTCAAGCATCAAAGGAACGGATAGGGCCACCGTCTGCAACTCCCCCATACATATGGACAAAGCGTCGGTCGCCTTGTTCTCCACCCCTAGTCTATACTGAATCTCAAAATCATACCCTAGCAACTTGGACAACCACCTTTGTGCTCTTCCGTCACCATCCGCTGTTCCAGCAGGTATTTCAAGCTTCGCTGATCTGTCCTGACAATGAAATGCCTCCCAAGCAGGTAGGGCCACCACTTCTGGATGGCCAAAATGATGGCCATTAATTCTCTCTCATAAACTGATTTCAGCTGGGCTTTAGCAGTCAATACTTGGCTGAAGTAGGCAATGGGTCTACGACTATGCATCAGTACTGCACCCAGCCCGTACCCGGAAGCATCTGTCTCCACAATGAAGGTCTGAGTGAAATCTGGTAAGGCTAGGATCGACACCATAGTCATCGCCTTTTTCAAGCTCTCAAATGCTGATGTGGCCTTCGTAAGTCGCACTCCTCTGCAAATCCCCTGACCTTTCTCTATCTTCCCCGTACCCATCATCACTCCGTAACAGTCAGTGTCCACCAATCTCACTCCCAATTGGTCTACGACCTGGGTGGAAATGAAATTGTGGGTAGCCCCACTATCAATCATCACCACAACCTCCCTGTCCTCTATCTCTCCCTTCACCTTCATGGTGTGATTCGTAGTGAATCCTACCACTGAGTTTAGGGAAACCTCAGCCAGATCCAAGTGTAGCTTCTCCTCTTCCTCCTCGGTCTCCTCCTCACCTCCCTCAGTTTTCTCGTCATCGTATACGGTGAGAACCTGAAGAGTTCGGTCCTTGCACCGATGTCCTGGTGTGTACTTTTCATCACATCAAAAGCACAACCCCTTAGCCCTCTTTTCCTGCATATCTTTCTCTGCCAGCCGCTTGAAATTTCTCCCATTCCCTCCTGTTTTCTCCTTGTTGGCCTCTTTACTCCCTCATGTTGCAGGACATTTAGGTGCGAGATGAGTAGTCGTCATCCTAAACGTGTCCCCAGTGCTGCTACTCTTGGCTCCCTTTTCCAAATTCCTCTGATTTTCCACCAGTTGGGCCAACTTCATGGCCTCCCCCAAGTCACTGGGCATCAAAACCTTCATTGCTAGCCCTTTCATGAAATTTCCCTCCAATACTGTATCTGAGAGTCGTTCCACCCTGCTAGCTAGGTGCCCAAACTGCTCCAGGTAATATGCTACTGCTCCCTTCTGTGTCAGAGCAAAGAATTGCTCATAGAAGTCTCCTCCCTGATCGGTTTGGAAACGCTTTATTATGCAGTCTTTAAATTCCCTCTAGTTCATGATCGGCCTTCTCTGGTCTTTCCACTGAAACCATGACAGGGCTTTCCCTTCCAAGCTGATGTAGGCAAAGGGGGGGTCAAAAAAAGTTGGGATTTATTTTTTGTATGCTTCTACTTATGTCAGCTCATTAATGTTGAACTGCTATCTAATCATCTCATTAAAGCAATTAATTAGATTCATTTTCCCTTACTTTGTCTCTTTGGTTTCCCCTTCCTTGACCTTCCCCCCTCTTCCCCTTCTTTGTGCCTTTTCGGTTTGCTCTCTGGCTGCTTTCCCTTGGCCGCCTCTTCCCCTTCTTTGTGCCTTTTCGGTTTGCTCCCTGGCTGCTTTCCCTTGGCTACATCTACCCGGTTCTGTGCTGTCTTTATGGGTGCTGTTTTGGGACAGATTTCTGGACTGTTTCTGGACAGATTTCTGGACTGAATTTTTGGCCTTTCAATATGCCTTCCAAAGTTTACCCCGGAACTTATTCCGTTATAACTTTCCCCGCGAAAGAAAAAGCAGCCAACAGTGCGGGCGGAGGCCGCGGCTGAATTTTCGGAGCCAACAGTTATTAGAAAATAATCTTCTTAAAACTCTCATTTAATAAATTTAAAAATTCCTATTTTTCTTTGATGTATTCCTGCTGGTAACACTATTGTTATTTATTAGCAATAAAAATTGTTTTAGGTGCTCCGTGTCTACTATGATAAGCGGCAAGCCCGTGTTACTGGGTGCTGCAATCACTTGAAATCTGAAGGATGGGGACAAAGTCAGAATCCAAACAATGTTGGATCTCCTAGAAAGAGGAGGCGGCTTCTAAATCATGCTTGTCGTGATCATACTCCAAATGTACCGGCAGGAGAGTTAAATGAAGCAAATGAAAGAACCTTTTCAGATAACGATGAGGTAATGCGTTTAGATTCTTGCTCTCTATCTGCAGGTGAAAATGTTCGTCTCTATCAAGCACTTAGAGAAAGTAAACTGAGTCCTGCTGAAGTTCAGCCTCAATCCCATGAAGAATATGCTGAAACTGCAGCTTTAATCAGTCAATGTGCGTTTGATAAGCTAAAGCCTAGCCGTAAGAGAAAATTCTCTTGGACTGACATTTCAGATAGGTAATGATTCTTGCAAGTGTTGCGCCGATCGATTTTAATGATTGTTTAGGGTCATATATGTATTTTTAATTTTTTTTTCTTCTTTTCATATATTGTTTAGGAAATTAGTCATGCAGTATGCAAAGCATAGGGCAATGCTTGGAGCAAGGTTTGCCCGGGTTGAGTGGTCTTCACTCTGTGATCTTCCAGCTCAACCAGACACATGCAAGAGAAGAATGGCCACTTTGAATCAGAATTCTAATATTAGAAGAGCAGTTTTGAGACTCTGTAACTTGCTTGGAGAGAGGTATACTCGTTGTTTGGATAACTCACGGGTTATGGCTAACCAGGAATCACTTAAGGTTGATGATTATGAGAAGAGTTATGAAGGTTTTAAATTGCATGATACTGTTCTTAATGAAAAATCTTGCGTAAATATCTGCAATTCAAATTCTCAACGTTATTGTTGGGATGATTTTGAAGACGCGGACATAAAGTTGGCTCTTGAGGAAGTGTTTAAATACAAAAGGCTAGCAAAAAAGGAGGATGCTAAGAGTGTTGGATGTAGACCTGAAGAAGGGTGGATTAATAATCGATTATCTCGTGACTTGGAGTTCACTTCTTCTGAACCTGTAAGTTTCAGAAAATCCTGAAATTTTGTTCCAATTTTTCGTCACTAAATCTAATTATATTTGTTACAGGAAAAATGTAGCTCCTCATCATGTGGTGGAGGTGTATTGCATGATGTTGATAAGAAAAATCCCGTTGTTTATTCAGCAGCTGCTCAGAACAGATCAAATAATTATTCATCTCGTGGAAAGGTTCTCATGTTTAGGGGAAATAATGGTTTAAGTCAAATATACAAATCTTTGTCCATTTCCAATGCCATTGAGCTTATTAAGGTTGTTTTTCTAAGCTGCTCGAAATCTCCCAGAGTGCAAAATTTACTTGCCAGAACTCTACAGAAGTATCCCCAGGGTGACATTTTTGCTGCATTCAGCTATCTCAGGGAGAAGAACTACCTGGTACTACTCTCCTAAATTCGATTTGTTTCCATGTCAAATTTATGATGACTCGTATGTTGTTTGGCATTTGAATAATGCTCGCCAACATAAGCTGCTTTTACGTTACTTTTCTTAGATTTGGCCCATCGTTATTCCAGTTCCAAAACAAGGTGTATATGTGCTTGTTGTTGGGGTGAGGGATGTTGATGTCGTGATGCTTCTAGCTTAAATTGTTAAATTTTAAGAGGTGAGAAATTGAGAATTTGCATGATAGGCTGTTGGGAGAGGCAATTTGAAATACTATACTTGAACTTAACTTTTGTGTGCAAAATTGATTATTTTCATCATGAAGATTGTCATAGAAGTTTTAGGCAAACATTGAAATGAATTATTTATTGGTAAAATGACTTAGTCATGGAAGAATAAAGCAGAAAAGATGACTATAGAAAGGAAATGTATTTTCAAAGAATGGCATCATAGAAATAATACTAGGTTTTCAAGAGTTGTATGGAAGCTAGAATTCTTGCAAAGTGGGTAAGAAGTAAAATGAAAGCTATAACTTCTTGTTGACATGTTTTTCATAATTCTAGACTCCTATCGAGTCGATTTGAGCCCAACTGGGCTCGATCGAGAATCGTCGAACACAAATTGACTAAAATTGGGCCTAAATTGAGTCTACTTTAACCCAGTTTTATCCAATTAAAATCAAATTGATGAAGATCGACCCAAATCGGTCCAAATTGAACCCAAATTAGCCTCTTCAATCCAAATTTGACTCAATTCAGGGCTGATTCGAGTACAATTTCACAAAATTGACTTGATCAGACCCAATTATTATATCATTTATTTTTATTATAATAATATAAAATTTATTACATCATCCAGTTAAACCTCGGTCTAACCATTAAACCTTATACCTCTCATATTTCCGGCTCGATGTCTAATTCAGTTTTCACAACCATGCAAATATCTCTATCCTAACACTTGGTAAGTGCTCACAACACAAACAATTATCAAACAATCATTATATAGCAAATATTACAACCATATGCATAAAAGAAAAATTCAAATCTTAGGATGCCAAAAGGGTCATGCATGCATATTGTGCTGGCTTGTGTAGCTGTCACACTATTATTTAATGTGTTGTCTTATTTTGGAATTGGTTGAGATTTTTTTTTTTTCAGGGGTGATTTTATTTTGAGTTGGTTATAACATAAAATATTATTTGAAATTTTTATCGTAGTCGTTGTCCACATCGCGCAGGTATAACCTTCTAAACTCAAAAAATCAATTCTCGGCATTTGCGTCGTGCGGGAGAACCCCATATACGCGCTCTCGTAGCACAGTGAGAGGAAGCCCAGTGCAACGCGTACGGTGAGACGGGTATGCCCTGTACATGCTCTTATAGCGTGGCAGGGACATTTGTAAGTACCTTACACGCTCTCGTAGCGTGGCGGGAAAAGCCAATTGCACATTTTCAAGGCAGGTAGTCCGTAGATCCATATATGCTCTCGTAGCATGGTGGGATTGAAGATATACGGCCGTCATGTCACCTGACACCTACGATAAACACTCTTGTAGTGTAGTGGGATGGCCCAGTCTACTAAAATTTCCCCTAAACAGGGGAGACGTCGGGAGAATACCGAAATTTAAACTAAATAGAGAACCTGAATAATAATAACAAAATCAAGCCTTTATTCCACTAAGTGGGGTCGGCTACATGAATCTTTTTTTCTCGATTGTGCCTTGTTAAAAGTTAAATCTAATAAAAAAGCACATTTCTAATATTTTCTAATAATGTCTTTTTAGGTCTACCTCTACCCTCCTTAACATAAGTCAAATCCAATATATCTATTTTCCAAACCGGGTGATCGGAAGGCTATCATTTTATGTGACTGAATAAAAATGAACCAAAGGGAACTTAAGCAATTTGCATAGAATTTGAACTCAAACGAATTGCAGAGGACTATAATTGAACCCAGACTCTTAATTAATGACTACACAACTCACCTTAAAGTGCAAATATTAATTAATGGTCCTAATGTTCAAATAAAAATAAATGAATAAGGAACTTATATGTGCTTAACAATTTGCTTATAAGTGACTACAACAAATAAACTACGAATACGATCGATATTAACTAGCTAGCAGATATATAATATGAGTCGTGTGAACACTGAAGGTTAATACACAATGAAAATGGCAACTTGCTAGCTAACATGTGCGGGGAAATCAGCAGCGTAGTAGCATTCTTACAGTCAATGATAATCAACCTGAAAACAATTATAACAATTTTTTATTAACAATTAAAAGTCAACGTGCAATAAATACAGGGTTTTCATACAGTTAATAACAATCAAGTTATCAACAAACACACTAATTTGTTCTTGGCAGCGAATATAAAATGAATGTAACAACACTTTGCGATCAACATCAACACATAAATAAACACAATAAACCTTGCAAGCGGTGAAGGTCATGAATACACTTGTCTTCTACGACATAAAACTGATGTACAATGAATGTAACAATGCTCTGCAATCGACATCAAAATACAAGTAAAGGTACTTAACCCCGCAGGCGATGAAAATTAAGAAGGAATATATAGTCTGATTGCAAGCAACTATGCAAGAGTCTGCAGTGAATGCAACTTGACCAAGGGCCAATAGTAGTATGCAGACAAGTATATTGGCCTCCTATGAAAATTGAACCACCGAGGTGCAATGAATAAGACTCTAAGGGCAATATCAAAGCACAACTAAATATATCCAATCTTGCAAACTATAAAGTTGAAATTTGGCACTAATTTGCACAGCATTCGTGCAAGAAGATATAGTTGCCCGTGCAATCATTGATAGCAAACACATTGCAGGAACAATGGGTCCTCGATGAATGCAGATATACACCCATGGTACCATTTGCAAGCAATTATAGCAAGCCTATTCGTGAGTGAATGCAAATTGCTTATGGATCATAGTTGAAGATCTGAGAGGTACATAGCAATTTACACATGGACGATGGCAAATGGAAGACAATGGATATCACAACATCCCTACAGCCAACCTTCACTCAGCACCAAGTAAATATATCATTCTTCTGCAAGTAAAGGCGGATGACACAATGAATGCAAGCGCCTACAAACCGCTTTACAAGACCCATTGTGCACCCACGTATGTCATTCAACATGCTAAATGCATCAGGCATATACTTATTGCTAGATACAAAACATGTCATGCATGTCATGTAAGCATTTGACTATTATGTAAGAAAATAGATGATGTACAAGTGTACTATACACATAGATCATGAAAATATGTCATATAATGATTGTACATTAAGCTACTATATTGCATGTCGGCATACTATATGAAATGTAGATGCATCATTCAGATACATATCAACATCTAAATACATGCATAAATCTATACACAAGTGTTTCACATAAATGTATAACATATAGTTATGTCGTATATATCCACCACATAAGTATGATAATTACATAAATGCATACAAGCAAATGCGTGAATATATGTGCAAATATGCTAGCATACATATGGCCACATGAATGTATATATGAATATGCAGCTATATCATATATACATCTTATATTGCATGCAAATGGGTATTGTGCAAATTAATACGCAAATGCAAAATATCACATATACATTGCACACTACGGGAGAGTGCTTAATCATCATGCAAATGCACAATGTGATCAAATAGGCAGTTTATGGATGCATCATCCATATATATATTATGCATATGCATGTGCGCTACATTAATGCAATAGGCCTTTATATTGTACATCAAGCACATTATACAAAATGCATTATACACGCTGATGCATCAGATGCCACGCCACCAGATCCACAATATCTCTACAAGCTAACATAAAGTGTGTACGACCTTCCAAATAGAATGTTGCATTCAAACGACAATTGCACGCGCAACTGATCAACATAAAAAAAATTCAAAAAATGCCCCCATATATGCACGGTAAAATGTATACACATAAATGCAAGAAAATGCATATCCAAGCATATACCCGCATGGGATCGACAAGCGTGTTTTATTTACACACGTGACTTCTGAGGATGCTGTGTAGGTTAAGAAATGAACTTAAGTTCAAGTTCAATCCTTCTCCTTGATAGGACAGTAGTTGACTCAACTTGAACCAATTAACAAATATACGGTTACGGTGTCGACCGAGATATTTATTTTATAGGTTCATATTAGGCCTTTAAGGCATGATACAAAGTAAATTCATTGACGAGAGCATAAAGCTCGCAACAAACCCGATCCTTTGTCAGTAATTAGATAGAGTCGACAGGGTTCAACAAATAGTTACAAAAATACCCCCAAATAACTGCATGGGCCCAGGAAAGCGTGATGATTTACACACATGATGCCTAAAGTGTTGCACGGGTCAATATATGAACCAAAGTTCAAACCCGATTCTTTTATGTGACGGGATAAAAGTCGACACAGCTCAATCCGTTAAACAAATATACAGTCATGATTTCGACCAGAATATTTGTTTAATATGTTCATATTAGGCCTTCAAGGCCCATAATGAAGAAATTCACTAAATAAATCATAAAGCCATCAATGAACTTAATCCTCTGTCAACAAGTAGAAAGAGTCGACAAGGTTCAACTAATAAGTGAAATTCCTCACAAATACCCCGATGATGACCGTGTTGAATTTAGATCTCAACCGGAGGGGTAACTTCGAATATTTCAAATACCATCCAAATTATCACAAAATTCAAAATATCAAAATTAAAAAATATTTAAAATTAAAATTCAATCATCAAACACCAAAAGCAAAATCCATTCATCCTGCAACATTTTGCCGAGATGGATAAAATTAAAAATACATTTCAGCTCACAAAGAGCTATTGTCTGGTCGAGAATATTATTAGGATTTATTCTCAATATATCTCATACTAATAAGGACGATGCACATATCCTCTAACCGATGATTTTGCCACCAAATGACACTGCAGATGTATGGTTATGATCGGGGCCCTTTGAACTGGGTGGTTGGCCATCAAATGACACCTAAATTACGGTTATGGTCAGAGCATGTGAGCTCCTCAATGACATCAAATCCTTGAGATATTAATCGATTGGGCACAAAGCTCTCTTTTAGCTAAGGTGGATTCAAATTTGTCCCTTCAGACAAATATCTACCCCAGGTCTACAAGATACCCTTGGACGAAGCAACTCATGGCTGCCGGCAAGGTTGCTTATATCAAGTTGGGTCGACTACCTCCTATGACTAAGTAAATTAGGAACCACGATGGTTCATGACGACGGAACCATGAGATCTTGATCGGGTTCATCATCCATTCTCCCACCATCTGCTTTAGGTGCAAGATGGTGAAATTCCGAATTTTAACTATAAAATTTTTAAATACCAACCCGTGCTAGATAACATATATATTTCTACATATATGACTGAAGATTGACATTAATTGAAAGTTCTCTCTCATTTACCGAAAGGGGTAATTAACTATAGGGGCTTGCGCCTATAGGAAATAAGAACTTAGATCATAAAGTTCTCTCAAAATGAGGGAGAAATCTCTTGGTGTGTCTTATCTACAAACCCAATCTGCCTTCTAAAAATTTTCTTCATATCCTAATTCATTAAAACTCCCCCGAAAGGCGGGGGAGGCCGGGGCGCGAATTTTCGGTGCCCACACACAGCATGTCGTCCAAAGTGCTTATTGCCACGGATTAATTGCCCAGCTACCATGATTTGCATTTATAATCAGTAAATGGATTTTGTTAACTTACGAAAAATGTAAATGGGATTTAATTCCCTAATTTTCAATTCTTTTCAATTCAAAATATTGTTCTATATGTTGAGGGCGATGATGATGAAAAAGAAAAAAAAGAAAAAAAAAGTTCTATATGTTGAATTGCTTCGAACACAAAGACGTTAAATTTGGTGATTTCCATTAAAGTTTATATTTGAGGGTTTAAATTGATCCAAATGTGATGCAAACCTAATCAAACTTGTATTTTACATTTATTTTCCCTTGTAATTTGTTTTTGCTCTACTATGGTTAGATCTTCGACTCAATGGTATGCAATTTTATAAGATCAACATTTTACACTTTGACTTTCAACTGCAGAACCTTACTTATAACCTTAAGTATCTGTATCAGTTGATAAGCAGTACTTATGAAGAAGGGCTTTTTGTGTGTGATGCATTTCTTTATTAAGTATACTGCATTTCTCAAAGACTTGAAAATGTAGTTGATGATAGTGTTTACTCTTTAAATTAAACTGTCATTTATGCTCCCTTCGTTTCTTTATTTCTTTTGTATCACCTGTGATTTGCTGAATATTATAATTCTTAGTTCTTGTTGTTCAGGTCGTTGGACATGGAAGTCGACCTTTTGTACTTTCCCGGAAGTTTTTCCATAATGTTTCGTCTTCTCCCTTTCCAAATGATTCTGGTAAAAGAGCCACTAACTTTTCTAGTTGGCTTCAGAAACAGCAGAGTGATCTAATAAAGGATGGAGTGGCTATTGCTCCAGATTTACAGTGCGGGGAGGTTGCCCATCTTTTTTCTCTTGTTTTATCTGGAGATTTTTCAATTTCACCACGCTTGCCAAATTGTGGCATTGGGGAAGCTGATGAATTTAAAAGTTCAGAGTCTTTTTCATCACTGGAAGACATGAGTAACATTGGTGTATCAAAAAAATTGAAACGGAAAGTTGATGTGCCACGCAGCAGTGAGAAGGTTAAGAAACCTAAGCCTCAGTCTAAAGCAGATGGTGATCGCAGGGAGAAAGGCTTCCCTAGTATCAAGGTTTTCCTAAATATGGAAACAGTTTTGGGAGTTGATGCTTTTGAATGTTTAGGACATGGAAAAGATAATAGCCATGCTTTGGCAGGAAATTCCACTTCAGTTGAAACAACTTGTTCGACATCTTCTTTGGATAATGTGGATGTGACTCATGACATGGGCCGTCAATCTTGCTGGGATGCTATGACTGGATATTTTGAATTGCTTGCATCAGCATCTGCTATTACGAATGAGGCAAGACCTTCTTCTACAGATTTTAAGTTTGTTCACTCTGTCATTTGTCAGGCTGGTGAGCAAGGACTAAGCATGGACGAAGTTTCTGGAGCTTTAAAAATAAAAGGTCTGTTTTACTTCCTTCAAAGTGTTTCAGATTTAGAAAGTTAGATAGTGTTTGATTTGACTCAAAGGACAATTGTATTCTTTGAAATCTAACCTAACGTTTATGGAGATTTAATAGGTGAAAGGGTGGCTGAAATGTTTGTGGACACATTGGAAGTGTTCCAATTAGCTGTTAAGGTAACTTTTTAACTTTCAATTTAAAAGTATGATTTTTTATTTTCTTGGTTTGTTATTTGTAGATTAGAAGCTCAGAAATAAAGAATCTATAGACTATTGTGTTGCTCAGTACATTCTGATCCCTTTTGTAACTAGAAAATATACTTTGATGAGAAACTATGCTTCCATGCCAGCACATTTCGCTGCTTTGGTAGGAATTTTGAATGATTCTGACCAATCATAATTTGCTCATTTAGTTTCAATCTAATTTATCTTTCACTTCTATTTCTTGTCTTTGTAGAAGTTAGCTAATTAGTTTGGCCTTCTTGTATGTCTCCTTTTATCTTAAAGTGTCACATATCATCCTTCCTCTTAATATTTGTGTCCCATAACCCGATCTAGATTTATCAGACTTAGATAAAATTAACATGCTGTATGTCCCCTGCCTATATTTTGATGGATTTGATGAAGAATGAACCCTATCAAACTTTACCTGAGACGCAGATGTAATTAATATACCTTTTTGTCCTGTGTTTTCTATTTTGACGGATTTCGCAAAGGATATGCACCAATAACATAACGTTTGGGTTTATGTTAATTCATTGGTGAAGCTATCAATTCAATGCTTCTTGACAAGAAAATTCCCTTAGTTTGACCTGGCTCTGAATGAACTTTGAGATTAATCCTATCTTGGCTGGTTTTTTGGGCTTGCTGAAGGAGATGTATTCCTTCAATCAGTGCTTTGTACTTTAACAGAATTTTTATGGAGGCATGCACATTTCTTCAATCATCTTGTACACTTACTGGAGATAGTGAAGCCGGTGATTTAATTTGCCATTTCATTGGCAATGGTACCCAACTTAGCTTGATGTTTCTTGAGTAAGGGCTCTCTCTTTATTTCTTCATTGACTAATGGACTCATCGAGAACTCTTTGATTTTGATTTTGAGACCACGTTAACTCTTCAAACTGAGAAGTTAAAATTAAAATTAATATTAAACTTTAACCAATTAATAAGTAAATCAACTTGATTTAAAAAAATAGATAATCTCAAAATACATTTAAATTTTAAATTAACAAACTGAGCAAATCAAATTTTACATAATTAATTTTAAAATGCATTTGAAATTCAAATTAGTGAGCTGAGCAATTTAAAATTTAATCTTAATTAAAATTAAAACCCATTTAATCAATCTAATTAATGCAATTAAAATAAAAGAAAATGCAAAAAATAAAATATTTCCAATAATCCAGCCTAAGTACAAACTAACAACGACTCTCCAACAAGTAACAACAACTCTCCAATTGAGCAGCTCCAACACGACAACACTCAAATTACAAATAGCTCTCCAACAAGTAACAACAACTCTTTGTAGCCTCAACTGCAGCTATCAGAAACCTATCTAAACTATTGGCTGTGAGCACCTGCAAGCAAGTAGGAAAAAATCAACCCTTAATAAATAAAATGCTGAAAAGAGTAAAACTAGCTAGTGCAAGTATGACAAAGTACTAGAAATGTGTAAAGAGTAAACGACAATGCTAAAGTAGAATAACAAACTACTGTAGTAGAAAAAACTTACAAGCACGAAAACAACAAAACACTTACGCTGATGTTAAAACCCTGAAATGTGTAAAACCTCAAACCATCAGGCAGCTTTGTTTATAAGAGCTAGGTTGTAATACACACCAACCAACAACTTTCAATGAGAGCCGTAAGTTCGACTTTAGGCAAAATCATTAGGTACAAATGACTTAACCTCTAATCCCCGATTAACACACTGGCACCTTCTAATATAAGTTGTAAGTCTGACTTCTAAGGGAAATGTATAGGTAATAATATAACCCTAGACTCCTCACTTGGGCATCCTGATCTATAGGGCTAGGTTTTATGACCCATCATACGAGTCACTTAGCTTACAGGGCTAGGTCATAAGATCCGTCATCAGGCTACTTCTAAAGAAGCCATAAGACTTGTCCAACCAAAATTCTTGGGCATCTTAGTCTATCGGGCTAAGTTATAAGACCCGCTATTCGGGACATCTCTAATAAAAGTCGTAAGACCCACTATTATGGCTACTTTCAAATGAAAGCCATAGCCCATAAGCCCTTATACAAAACCAATCACATGGGCAACTCTTAAACAGAGTCATAACCCCCAACCCAAACTTAACCAAATTAAAATTCATATTTCTCTACTTCAGTTTACTCGAGATCTCTGAGAGGAGGCAACCTATGACTGCTAATCACATTCCATGGACACTACAATCAATTGTTGTTAGTATTGGTAGACTGAAATCCACGACATACCCGGGACAACGAAACCATGTGATTTTGATCGGGTGTACCTTTATCCCCCTATAAATAAGATTAAAACACTGTTGCATATTTCCATATTTTTTGCACAGAGTAAATATATTTTATCCTTAATCGATAGTGCTCTTCTAATACGTTAGGAGCGGTAATTAACCATGAGGGCTTGCACTCATAGGAAGTAGAACCCATAATTAAATAAACTCTGACACTACTTGTAACACCCTACAGTACCCCTTAATAGTAAGATAGAGTGTAACAAGAATAAACATAACATTTTCATTACCAAACATCTCATTCATATCATTATATTAAGACTTCATATAAAAGATCATATAAACTTCATTCAATACAATAAAGGAAGCATGTACCAAGTCCCAAGTTTCATCAAAAAGCTAGTACAGAGCCAATAAGAAAAACCAAACAATTTCAAAGTAATACATGTCTAATTTACTTTCATACATTGAAAATTTTATGTGAAAGATTTGGCTTTATTTTCATAACATTATTCAATGGAGCCCAGGTAAATCTGGCATTATTGCCATTGAATTACTTAGAGGTCCCTTTTGCCTCTTTTGGGGTCCCTTTTGCCCCACCTGTTATGCAGGTTTCATAATTCTCTAGGGTCCCTTTTGCCCCACTTACCATGTAGTTCTAATATGGGAACCCTTTTGTCCCAACTATAATGATAAGACATACATTATTCATTGCCAAACTTTACATTAATTTAGTATTCAACATTCTTTCATAATTCATATCATATCAATCTTCATTATCATTCATGACATAGCTTGGGTACAAGTAATATGCATAAATTTTCAAGAACTTTACATTCTTACATAGAACCATTTGAATGATGTAACCAAACCTTATGTGAACATATATGATGACAAAAGGTATAAGCAGTAGCTCATATTCAAAAGCTTGGAGAAAACATTTTAAAGAAAATAAATTCATCATAACACATAACTTTCTTTAAATATGAATTTGACATTACTTACCTTCTTGCCGATTCGTCTTCTCCAATTCCCTACTAAGAACTCTTCTACGATTGTAAGTCACCTCGTAACTTCTCCTTTGCATACTCCAAAGAAATAAAGAATCCTTCTCTTCTACCACTTATTCTTCTTCAACTCTTACTTTCCAAAATACCACACCAAAACCACTGTTCCTTCAAATTACTTCAAACTAAAATTTCATCATACAATTCTAAATTAATCACATAAAAAACTTGGTTATTGATCTCTAATAAGTTCATTAAAAACTCTAATCATTTCACTTACCTGCAGTTGTTTTTCTTCCTTCAATGTTACAACAGAATTCTCTTCAGCCCCTTCAGCCCCTTCAGCCGATCTCTATTACAAGGTTGTAGTTTTCTTTCCAAATTCCGCTGAAAAGCATTCAGCCGAATGCTTAACTGGAATTTTATTCCTATTTTTTGTCGCAGCAACTACTTCTATGGCCGAACAAATCAATAGTGAAGGAAGCACAGTGCCGTTCCTTTCTCTAGCAAGGCACTTTACCGAATCATGCCCTATCCAGTACACTAAAAGGTACCTTGAATTGCAGTAATTCCTCTCCCGAACTTCCTCTGTTGCCTTCCGGTTTTCAGAGAATATCTAGCCTAATAACAACTCGAGAGGTTCACCCCTCTCAAATAACTGATTTTATCCATTTGGCTTAACGTAACACTGTTGTTTCTTACCTTTCTTATCCACACAGCACACACTTCTTTTATTTTATTGTATATAGTAGGATGCGGGAATGAGGCCCCACCGTAACTGCATTCTCATATTCCAACCCTTTGGAAACACTGTTTCAGAATTAAATACATAAGGAATTAACTTTACTTAATAATAATACTAAAATCTCTTAACAGTAATTAATTATTAAGTAATTATTAATTTATTTAGGAGTTTTTAAAACTTATTTAACTTGAAAAGAATTAAAGTTTGTACCAGTAAAATTGGATATTACACTACTTTCAGGAGAAATATAGTTAAATGTTAAACTCAATCTACCTCGGGAAAAATATTGGAACCTTAGGCTTGCGAGAGTGAGGTTCACGCTTAAATATTATTTTTCTAGAGCGAACAGCATCGGTACAATCCATTTGACAATCAGAGATCGTTTTGGTTGTTTGGTGAAGCGTCGTGCTTTCCAACAGTCATGGTAGTCATCATTTTTTATTTAGTTATGCATGAATGACTCTTCCTTACCAAATTCGATGTCCTGAGTGCATCAGTGTGATCTATTTCACGATCAGATAAATTTAAGTTATTTTGGTAACTATTGAGGTGTTCTCATGCTCCTGATAAGCGACATATTTGTTAGTAGCCTTCCTTGATGCACTCAATTGATAGTGGAATATGTATAGAGGTCAACAACATTAGTATCACATTAGAACCTATGCTTAATAACTCTCTCTCTCTCTCATAGGTTTAATGTATGACACATTAACTTAATTTCACAATAATTCATACTCTTGTACATCCCCTTTATTATTAAAAATGAGATTCAACACAGGGTGCTAAAATCATTAAAGTCAATTGTATTCTCACAATTTCATTAAAAAGCTTATCAAAATATCTCATTCACCTTGTTGAATATGCTCTTCTAATAAAAGCAAATTTTTATGTTTATCTTTAAAGCACTTCACTTGAGCTAAATCTTTACTTCTCCTATCTCTTTGCTTATTTAACTTATACATACATCTTTCGTCTTCCTTAGTATATAATATGTTATATATTTCATTAAAAGATAAATTGTTTGTATTGCATATCTTTTCTATTTTTTTTAAGATTCAACATTTTAATCAATTTTTATAACAAAGTTTCTTATTTTTAATATTTGGTTATGTATGTTGATTATACCACCAACTATTTTATCATTATGAGTTTTTTTTCTTTTGATATTCTAAGCACATATTTTGCTACATTCTTAATATCACTAACTATTTTTTTTCCACATAACATTAACTTCCTCATGCATAATCCAAATCTTAAGATTTTGAATCTTACTCAAAAATATTTTTGTTAACATTCTGATTTAAAACAAGTGTATAAATTGTTTGCTGAAATTAAAATTTCATGAAGATAGAATCTGAAATAGAGAAGAATCTTGTGGCAAAACACTTAAAAGCCTTTAGATTTGATGAAATATGGAAAAAGACAAACAAGATACAATATATTTTCCATTGGAGAGGAAGATCTTGCTCTCCCTAATCTCTAGATATCGCTAGAGCCCACACGAAAATTAGGAAGCAGGAAATTTCAACAAAACATCAAGATAAAGCTAACCCTAGCCACCAAACTCTACATAAGCATACAATTAATTGAGTAAAATACCCAAATCCCTTCTAATTTAATTTTTCCTCCTAGTCACTCTTAATTACTCCATAAATTGTTGTTGGACCCCACCCCCAAAGGGGCGGCATTACTAAGGGGCGAAACCCTTGTTCCGCCTCTGGTACACCATTGATGGTTCAGGCTAGACCGGCCTATTAATAACCCCCTCCCAAAGATCTACCTTATCCTCAAAATGGAAAAACGGAAACTGATGCCTCACTTTCTTATATGGCTCCCAGGAGGCATCATAATTAGGTAGATTCTTCCACTTTATCAACACTTCCTTTAATCCGCCCTGTCCCTGTCGTACCCCTTTCAACTCCAGTGGTTCCAGCATTGCCTCCAAATCTATTGTGATTGTCCCCGATAATTCAAATCTGGTTGTATTATTCCCAATAGCTTTCCTCAACTGTGATATTTGGAACATTGGGTATATAGTAGCGGCCAAGGGTAATTTTAATCGGTAAGCCACAGCTCCAATTCTCTATATTATCTTATAAGGGCCAAAGTACCTTAGGGCCAACTTTTCATTTCTCCTGTGAGCTATCGTCCTTTGTCTGTAGGCGCGTAGCTTCAAGTATATTATGTATCATATCTCAAACTGGATGTCTTTCCTACATTCATCCACCTGCTTCTTCATAATCTGCTGGCCCTCAACAAGTGCCTTTTCAACTCATCCAATTAGCCCATAACCTAGGTGTCTCGGAAGCAAAACATCGTAAGTATGTCTCCAATCTCCTGTTCACTACTTCTATCTGCTTGTTAGTCTTGGAATGATAAGCGGTGCTCCTCTTCAGCACTATTCCTTGCAATCTAAACAGGTCCTTCCAAAAGTGACTGAGGAATACTTTATCTTTGTCGGATACTATAGACTCCAGCATTCCATGCAATCTTATCACTTCTTTGATGAATGTCACTGCTACTATCATGGTCGTGCAAGGGTATCATAGGGGAATAAAATGACATACTTGCTCAATCTGTCAATCACCACCAAAATCAATATAAACCCATCAGATTGGGGTAGCACATCTATAAAGTTCATGGTGACCTCCTCCCACACTGTCTTGTAAAGCTAGGGGTTGAAGTAACCCTCTAGGAACCATGGCCATGTACTTTTTCTGCTAGCATATCTCAAATTTGGCCATAATGTCTTCCACATCCTTATGCATCCCCTTCTAATATTGCTCAACTACCAATCTCATGTAGGTCTTCTACACACCAGAATGTACCCCCACCGTGCTCCCATGAAACTCCTATAGCAGCTTTGGGATATGGACGGAGGTTTGAGGCATCACAAACCTCCCTTGATACAACAGTCTCTCGCCCTCTAGAGAATAGCCAGGTTGACTACTATCATCCCTAAGTAGATTTTCTCTAATCCGTCCTAACTCCTTATCCTGCACACTCTCCTATTTAATGGTCCCCCAGTCCAGTATCAAGGGTATCGACATATAGCTAATTCTTGAAGCTTCTCCATGCATCTTGACAAGTCATCAGTAGCCTTGTTCTCCAATTCGGGCCTATAATGGATCTCAAAGTCATAGCCTAGTAGCTTTGACAATCACCTATGATGCTCCTCGGTCACCATCCTTTGTTCCAATTGGTACTTCAAGCTCCTCTCGCCCATCCTAACAACGAAATGTTTGCCCAACAAGTAAGGTTGTCACTTCTGAATAGCTAGCACGATGGTCATCAACTCCCTTTCATAGATTGACTTCAGTCTAGCTCTAGCTATCAACACCTGACTGAAGTAATCGATGAGCTTATGATTCTGCATGAGCATTGACCCTAATCCATAACCTGATGCATCGGTCTCTTCCACAAAAACCTGACTGAAATTCGGTAGGGCCAAGACTGGTATTTATAATTACAAAATCATAAGCCAAAGAAAAATTTAATGGTCCTACTACCTCATTAGTAGCTCCCTATAATCACTATGAATATTTTTTAAATCTTCTACAACATGTCCATTTAAATCTTTTCTTATAAAAAAAAATTCTTCGTTAGGTATCCTTTATGCTAATTTTTCAAGTCATTCCAAAATATTAATTTTGAAAATATATTTCAACCTATTTAAGGAGCACAAATACTTATAATATTAATAATCTTATCATCAATAGTAATATTTAAAGCTATAATTATATCTCTAATTATATTAATTTCTATAATATTATATTTTAAACTCTTATCTATAATCACCTATGCAATCTTTCATTTTTCTCATTCAAGACTTGAGACTTGGCAATAGCACTGTTAATACTCATTTGCAAACACAAGATAATTGTGTACTTAATATTGATATTGGAATTATTCTTTATATTTGCTTATTTGAAATGTTGTTTCAACTTTATTCATTACCATGCATTTGTACCTGGTTTTTATGTCCTAAACCAGCATATATCTTTTGACACTGGCTTCAGTTTAGAAAGGCAAAATACTAGCCGTAAGATGATGTAAATTTTCTACACTATCCATGATATTGTGTAGGTTAACCTAAGTCAAAATTACACAATTGAAATGGTTGTTATTTGTCAGTTTGGCTCATGGTACAATCAATATGCATGTAATTGCTGTACTCATGGATCATAATGGTTAATTTAGTTTGTCGTATCAATTCTATTAGGTATTTTGGTTTAGTCCAACCTATCACGTACATGCTATGTTATAATGTTTATAGAAAAGCATATTGAAATGGATAATGTATTATATTTGGCCGTGCTACATACTGGAGCTTATTAAAGATGGATAAATCTCATGTTTTGGTTGACCTTAAATGGATTTGACTTGAGTGATGCTTTATGTGAGGTGGTTGCAAATGGTCGCCCATGTTTCTATAATCTATTTGTCGCATCTAAAGTTAATAATGTATGTTATGGTGAACTATGGGATTAGGAATCCCCTGTATTCCATGACTGTAATTGGTCCTTTCTGTGGAATGTATGCGATGAAGGTTGGACCCAATTAATGCTTTTAGGTGGGCTGCCTGGATGGTCTACTTCTTGATAGTGATATCAAGCTAATAATTCTTGCATGTTACATTGAATTAGATCAAAAAGCAATTAAAAAAAATGAAATTTCTATTTATATATTTTGAATGTGTCATACTTTAAAACTATGGGAGCGAGTTATGGAGCATAGGTTGCGGCGTGATACTAATGTTTCTCAAAATCAATTTGGATTCATGCCGGGTAGGTCGACTATGGAAGCCATACATTTATTAAGAGGTTTGATGGAGAAATATAGAGAAAATAAGGAGGATCTACATATGATATTTATTGATTTAGAAAAAGCATATGATAAAGTGCCAAGAGAAGTGCTATGGAGAGTTCTTTCGTCGCGGAGGTTTCAAACATCACAAGCCACGGAAAAGCCCCCTGCTTTTCACGAGAAAACAGCCCAGCCAAGGAACCGAAGGAGCAGCCACGGGAACCAAAGAGACCGCACGGAACCGAGGCGCCAAAAGCCACGGGAAGGCCCCCCAGTTCGGAAAACCAGCAGCCACCGTGAGAACCAAGGAGCCAATGCACGGAAACAGCCAACCGTGGAAGCCAAGGAGCCATTGCACGGGAAAACAAACAATCTTGGGATTCCAAAAGCCATTTGGAATCCCAAGGGACAAACTTAAATTTAAGTCATAAAAAACTATAATAAAAATTACATTAATTAAGATAACTAATGAACTAAAACCTAGCTAATAAATGAGCTAACCTTTAGTTCAATAAATGAACTAAAAACCAGCTCATAAATGAGCTAAATTCCAGCTCAAATTTTATTGAGCTTGTAAGCTCAAGGGAAGTCAAAACCAACTTATTTTGGGTTTGAGTTGACCCCCCCTCTGCCTACATCACGAATGTTGGCCATTAAAAGAAAAGCATAATACTAAGCTAAGTGTGGCAGAGATGAGGATGCTCAGGTGGATGAGTGGCTTTACCCTTAGAGATAGGATACGAAATGAGCATATACATGAAAAGGTTGGAGTAGCTCCAGTAGAAGATAAGATTAGAGAGAGTCGCCTTAGATGGTTTGGTCACATAAAAAGGGTTGTTGTTGTTGTTGTTGTTGAATGTTGGATAAAGGAATAAATGCTGGAACTTTGTTTGTTGATCAGAAATCTCATGTTGTCTATATGATACATTCATTCCTCCTTGCCATTCTTTTAATCCTTTCTTAGCAAACAAAAGGATTCTAAACTGAGCTGTTGATTATTTGTTGGGTCAGTCTTGATCATGTATTATCTCTTTTGTCCTTGCAAAAATTGTTGTGCAGGTCAATGCATTTGATTCTGTTCGAGTGGTTGATGCTTCACATACCTCAAAGTACTTTATCAGCGTGCCTAATCATGTGAAGATTCATAACCAAGGTTTTGATTTTCTCTCTTGTTCCAAACCCCAAGGCATCAGTTCTGGAACACCAGGAGGACCTTTTCAACATCAGCATGGTAACATAGATAATTCTCTGGTCAACCCTGGAGTCGGTGTTGGCTGTGAAAATAAAACAAGGGCTCATGATATGTCTGACAATCCTTGTGAATATCGTATTGAAGTACAACCTTTTAGAGAAAGTGCTATTATTGCTAAGGAATCTGAGAGTGATGAATCTTTTCATTTGCAAGATATTGCGGTTGGCAGTGTTAGAAATCCTGTTGCAGGAATGGCTGGTGTATTCCAGCCTATATTGCCTTGGATCAATGGTGATGGAACCATTAACATGAATGTTTATAAGGGGCTTACACGTCGAATTCTTGGGATTATCATGCAGAATCCTTGTATATTGGAGGTATGCATTCTCTAGTCGGTAATTTAAATTTTGGTAGCGTTTAAATGAAAAAATTCATTTTCTCTTCTTATTCCTTACTTTAATGCAGCCATTTAGATATGTTAAAAGCGATAATCATCATCATTAGCCTTATCCCAACTATTTGAAGTTGGCATTGCGAACCCTCATTTTTTATTTGTTTTATTTCCATCTAAGGTAATAGCTTATTTTTACTAAGTATGTTGAAGAACATCTGTTCATATTACTTCAAGTCCATCACTTTTTCTCTCTACTATATTGACACTAATTTTATCTAGGGCTGTCAAAACCGGGTCACTGGTTGGGTTCGGGTCCAACCCGAAATTGACCCGACACTGTTCAACCCGATCCGAACCCTACCCGTTTTTGCAAACGGGTCAGTTTTCCGAACCCGAACCTGAACCCGACCCGCTTTGGTTCTGGGTCAACTCGAACCTGACCTGATTCGGATATATTTTATTAATTTTTTTATTTAATTCAATTTATTTAAATTAAATCAAATTATGGTAAGATTTACTTCAATTAATTTAAAATAAATCAAGATTAATTTAATTTGGGCAATAATGTTTATAATTTTTTTGAAATATTATTTACTTATTTCATTAAAATCCTCCTAAATTAATTAAAAACGGGTCAAACCGGGTTGATTTCAAGTTTTCAAGTCAACCCGAACTGGTTTTACAAACGGGTCGAAATCCCTAACCCGAACCCGACCCGGTTCGGGTTCGGGTTGACCCGAACCCGAAATTTTCGGGTCGGGTCAAATTTTGACACCCCTAATTTTATCTATCTAATAGGTGTATTTTCTACCATTAGTAATACTAAAAGTATTGTAGAAAGGTTTAGGAAATGAACTTAAATTAATTAACCCTCTGAAATACTATTGGGCAAGGAATCAAACATTTATTATCTTCATTTTCTTATGCTATCTACTTATGACATGCCTTCTATGATGAACATTTGCCAGTCACAGTGACATCCTTGATTATTATTTTTTTTTTAATTTCATTAAATGTCCAACTTTTACTTCTATTTATATCTGAAGTCTTATTCTCTTCTCAGTATTTAATGTCTAGTGTCATTTTTTTCTTTAATATTTGAATTATCCATCTTTGATGAAATAGTGCACATTTTTCAGAACCCTTTGTAGGTCTTAACTTTAAGCTATTTATACTTTCCAATGTCACTCAATGTTAGTGCTTCATATTTGGTCAAATGTGCTTAAAGGAATCATAATTTTAGGTGTCATAGGATTCAAAATAAATCTACATGGCGCAAGATTAGAGATGAAGGTTTTAACCTGATTATTTGCATAAGCATCCATTTTTATTCTCATACAACGAGGAAAACTTCTTTGAATAATCTTTGTCCTGAAATTCAACTCGCAACATCAATTTCTTATACTTTTTCATTAGTAAGTTTCCATGTAAAGGAATTGAAACTCAAACAGCTTTTAGATGGTCAGAAGTTTAAATGTAGTATTAGTATGGTGTTGACATTTGTACAATATTTATGGGACTAGACGTCAAATTTAACATTATTTACTTGAGTAGAAAATTCATTCTTTAGGTAATTCCAAGGTTTAAAATTGTGTAAATAAGCCTCGAGGCATTTTTTGTCTGTGAGGCTAAGCCTCGAGGCGGTGTGAGGCGTAAGCCTCACGGACGAAGAATTGCGTAAATGAGAATTTAAAGGTTTTAGCAGGTAAATAATAGTAAGATTCTATCATACAATAAAAACATCTAAATGACAAATGAAATTAGTGGAAAGTAAGAAAATAGATGCAATAAAATCATGTCCCAAAGTATAGAACCACAAAATATTAGTCTATCAAAACTCCCAAAGTACAAATAAGAAAGAACATATAAAATTCAATCATGTCCCATCACTAAATGGGTCTTCAAGAAGATCTTCTTCTTCAATTGTATCTATGAATGTCATATCTTCATCATCTTTAATGTCACTCACTTTTCTCTATCCTGTTCAATAAGAATGATTATTATCATATTAATTGCCCACTTGATATAAATATAATATAATAACATATAAGAAGTAGTGAATTATCTTTATTTTGGTTGTTGTGCTGCATAACTAGTGGATGTGTTCACTTGATCTGCTTCGCCCCTAAAGCATCCACACTTAGATCCTATAGCTGCAGGTATGATAATGGCAAATATGTCTCATCATCTATGAATCACTTATTATCAAATACCACATCATCACACACCAACGGGTCCTTATCATCCTTCAACCCCTTGTTCCTCAACCTCCTTTCTCTCAATGTCTTGTTGTACATAATATACATAAGGGAGTTCATTTTGAGTGTTAAAAGTCGATTTCTTCTCTTTGTTTGCACTTGACTATATGTACTCCAGTTTCTCTCACACCCAGAAGAAGAACAATTGAGGCCCAAAATTCTAACAACAAAACTCTGTAACTCAAGGGTGTAATCACCAAATTGGATTCACCATTCAATTATTTTCAAGAAGAAAAATGATAATCATAACATATTAAAGTGTTATGCATTTACAAAAATAAGTATAGCTGGAGACCGTTTGGCAATATTTGATTTTACTGCTTGCAGACCAAAAAATCCCTCCCTATTCCGAAATAGAAGAAGTTGTAAATCTGTAAGCTCCCTGACGATTTGGTCCGGTATTAGTCGTTCCATGCAATGATACAAGCCAAGCTTCCCCTCCTGGTTTGAGGATTTCCTCTATGAATATTGAAATTGAGGATTGAGATAATGTGTCGCTGCATGTAGATGACGGTGTAATTGGACCTCTCACTGAGCATCAATGATATCCCAAATCTCTCTATAACTTGCCTCATCTCCTCCCAAGTTATGTGCAATCATCTCCTTCTCCTCATCCATAACATTATAAATAAAACCCATGGCTAGTTTCTTCTCGGCATCCACTAAACGTAGAACTTGTACCAAGGGTCTCATGCTCAATATGACATAGGTCACAGTAGCCCATAATTTATCATTTAGAATAAGCCTTCATATTTCCTTCCCCTAAGTTTTCATCCGCCTCGCAGAATTATGCCATTGTGTTGATGTAAACATTGCTTCAAGAGGTTGTCTCACATCCAGCAGGCTCTGCAGTGTCAAATAAGATGTGGCAAGCCTGTAAAATAAATTTGCATTAGGAATTGAAAATGATTTGCAGTGAACAATTGTAATAACGAACCTAGTGGTTGCAGGACGAATGATTTTCTTCTTTGAAAACTTTCTCATTAAGGCTAAGACCCATGAGTGGTTGTATATGAACTTTGTGATCTTATTCGCCCTAGAAAGAGCACTCTTGTGTTAAGGTAAATCACTAAGTTCCTCCAATATAAGATCGATACAGTGTGCTTCACAGGGGGTCCAATACAGGTGTTACCTCTTCTCCATCAACATCTGACCAGCTGCTTTGTATGCACTGGCATTTTCAGTCACCACCTTAACAACCAATTGCTCCCCAATCTCCTCAACAATCCCATCTAGTAAATTGAAAATGAATTCAGTATTTTTAACCTCATCTGAAGCTTCAGCGGATCGTAAAAATACCGTGTCGTAGGAATTGTTGATAAGGATATTAATCAAACTCCTGCTCTTCATGACAGACAATCCATCTGACATAATGGTAACACCAGTCTCAATCCATGTCCGTTTAATCTTATCAATGCTCTGCTCTGTGTTCTGCAACTCCTCCTTCATAATTCATGTTCGCAACTCGTACATGAAAGGTGCCTTCAACTCTCTCCTAAACAACCCTATAGACCGCAGCATATTGAAGTAGGTCGGCGATGTCGCAACATTAAATGGTATGGCATTCTAAAAAAAAATGTCAATATCTATGCAAACCTGCCGTCGACCCTCTCTGTTATCAGCCTCAGGCATCATCTGTTCTTGTCCTCTATCCTCTCCTGGATTAGCATATACTGGTCCATAGGACCCTGTGCACCTTTATTATGTATAGTGGAGGAAGAGTCCTTTTCACTCTAGCTTTCTAAGTAAGCATCATATTCAACCCTTTTATCAAATTGCTCATATTGTAAATGTTTGGCTGTCGTACTCTTTTTCATATAAGCTGTAATTTTCTCCTTCACGTTATCCGAAACATTCGCACAAGGTACTATATTCTTATGTGAGCCGGATAAGTGTTCATTCATGCGAGTTACTCCTCCCTTCATCACCTTATCACAAAAACTGCATTTTAAATACACATGTCTTCTCGCTGCCTCCTACATCAACTTGCACACTGTATTTCCAAGAAGGATCACGCCGCAATAACGTATTTGTTTTTTCCTTGCCTTTAACCATCTTTCCTAATGCAAAATTGCAAAAACAAACAAAAAAATCTCAAAAAATAAAAAACACTAGATTTTCTTTCACTTGAAAAATCTTTCGTTGAACTAAAAAAATACCTAAAATCGGTTGTGGACTTCTCCTAGAGGGCAGCCGGACACTTCAAGATCGCCGAAGTGAAGCGGCACCGGCGGGAAGGGTGGCGAGCGGACGTCGTGCGGAAGAGCTTGCGAGCCTGCGGCTTTTTTTGTCTGCTCAGTTTCGGGTAGGCTGATATGAATGGGGAGGAAGAAAGCTTATTTCATTTAGACTTAAGTGTGTGATCCCGGTTATTAGAGGCGTGCGCCTCACACTGAATTGCGCAATTCAGCCTCAGAGGCGTGCCTCATAGTGAAAGAGGCGTACGCCTCACGAAGAACCAAAAAGGCTTAAGCAATGAGGCGATTTTGCCCAGAATTGCGCTGAGGCGCACCTCATTGCGCAATTTTAAACTATATTGTTGCACAATTGCAATCATGAAGGGTTTATATATATATGCCACTTTATGGTGGGACCAGCTTTGGGCTGTCACTGGCAAGTTAAAATGTATTTATTCATGTACTTCTAATTACTTGTCACCGTATTTTTTTCCATTATTTTCATTTTGTTGACCGATTCCCCATCATCTTACATATAAGCTCTCCTAATTTTGCTTGTACACTAAGTCTTATTATAATTTTTTTTTTATTTTCATGGCCAGGAGGATATTATTACTAAAATGGATGTATTAAACCCACAGGTATGCATTTTATACACTGTCAGTGGCCACTGAAACTCCTCACATTCTGTTATATTTTCGGAATGGCTATTAGGAAATTCATAGTTTTTTTTTAGATGTGTATGTACGCAACCTAGGTTTACACGCTTTGTTGAGTTGCGTATCAATCTGTAGAAGAGCTATGCATATTTTTTAGAGACTGGTTCATGTTTTGATTTCTGTGCAGAACTGCAGAAGGCTATTGGAAACTATGGTTCTGGACAATCACATAATGGTGAGATGGGTGCATCAAACTGCCACTTCATCTCCTCCACCGGCAATTTTGCAGAGCCTTTTCACTTCAAATTTGAAGAGGCCATCCTTAAAACTGCAAAAGCATTACTTCGCTAACCCTATGAGCACAACTATGCTTTAAGTTAGGTGCACAGATTTTATCCTGTGAATGATGGCATTAAAATTCACATAAAGACTTGGTAGGGGATGATCATTTTAAAACGGTTTGAATATCTTTCCAGCCGAGTTCATGTTGTAAAGTTTTTTGCCAGGTTAGCTCAGTATTGTTACAAACCTCGTGGATTTTACAGAAGACTGGAAATCTTGTATTATTTAGTTGAGAAATGCCTTCAAGCGCCAAGTGAGCAACACGAAATAGCCTAGGGTTCCCTATGGACCTCCATTTGTTGGAGTGCAATGAGTCCTACATATTTTTACGGCTTCTTGCTGAGAAGCATGGGAAGTTTCTCAGTGCTTGCTTTTTGCAAAGTATTATCCTGATTTCAAGTGAACTTTAATAGGTCTCAGTCAAAATGATTCAACGGTTGGTTGGCTTGTATGATTATAATTTTAGTGAAGGGAAAAGCAAAACGTTTGAAAATCTCAGATCAATGGCTTCAAATTCATAATCAAGCCAGAGCCCATGAGCAATATTCTCAACCATATAGTTGGTAGCTACAATGTTGCATTTCTGAAACAAGTTTGACATTTTTCCTTAGTATTTTCTGAACTATAGCTATATTCAACTCTTGTTTTATTTGCCAGTTACGGAATGCTGTGTATGAACCCTTATCGATTTCCAAGCATGCATGGAAAGTTCCGAGGAATTCATTTCGGGTTAACATGCTTTGCCGCCTGTCAAGATGAGTCTGTTCAAATCTTCAAGATATGATATCTGGACACCTGGATGCAATTCTAGCTGCTGAATTAGGTGAATGTCTTTTTGAATTTTCCTCTTATCATTACATCTTGTTTCAATGATACGACTTAGCTCAATTATTAAGTTTATTTTGATTTTTTGTAGGGAATTGTGCATTTATAGTTATCATTATATTCTGAAGATTCTCTTTCACGTCATCAGCTCTGTTCAAATATATAAGTTCTGCAGAAGTAAATGCAATGGCAGCTGCTGAATCTGGTGAAACAATTTCAGAATTTTCTTCTTGTCAGTACATTCTTATTTAATACTTAAAAATATTAGAATGCGGAGGAAATGTGATTTCTAATTATGCATTAGGCAATGTTGAAGGCTTTTTTTTTTTTCGTTGAAACTAATGTTATTTACTTAAAAATATTAGAATGCGGAGGCAACTCAAAGCCTGCTGCTATTATTTCAACTATCTTCCCCGTGCATAAAAACAATATCAATTTTCAATGTTATTTTCTTGGAAGTCTTTTTTATTTGTGGACTCATCCCCTTTCTTTTTGTGTTGGCAAGAAGAGTTATAATGAGTTTAGGTTCCGGGGTGAATTTTCAGAAGGAAAATTGGGATTATAGATAAGACACTACGCTAAGATTTCGCCCTCATTTTGTGAAAACTTTATAATATGAGTTCTAGTTTTCTATAGGCGGAAGCTCCTATAGTTAATTACCCCTCCTAATAACGATAGAGAACTTTTGATTAAGGATAGTCGTTGAACATATACATATTATCCAGTGTATAGTAGTAGCCGAATTAGATATTGAAAATTAAAATTTATCACCACGAACTTAAAGTGGATGATAAGGGGGAATGATGAGGAACCTGATTAAGATCCCATTGTTCCATCATCATGAGTCATGATGATCCCTAGTCCACTTAGTCAGAGTAGATAATCTACTTAACTTGATCGAATGATCCTTGTTAGCGGCCATGGATTGCATCGTCCAAAGGTACCTCGTAGACTTGGGGTAAATGTTTGCTTAACGGGATAGATTTGAGTCCACCTTAGCTAACAAAGGGTTTTGTGCACTATCGATTATACCATATTTATTCATTACTTAAAGATTTAAAGACATTGGGGAACATACGGGCTCTGATTGTAACCGTAATTTTGTGATACCATTTGGAAGAAAAATTATCCGGTCAAAGGGCCTCTGTCATAACCTTTTACATGTGATATATTTGGTGGCAAAACTACCGGTTAGAGGACACGTACCATATATGTTAATCGCCTTCCTTTATGCATTCAATTGATCGTCGAATATGTATGGAGGTCAACATTATCATCATTTTTTTATTATTCTATCAAACTCGAAACTTATGGATGAAGACGGAGCTACCACCATTTTTTTCAGCCCTGTCCTAATCATTTGTGATCCCTTCTTTATGTACTTGGTCTTTCATTCATTTTAAATGTTGCAATTGGTTTTGATTATAGTTTTTGAAAATATTTTTTTTTCATTGTTTCTAATTATTTGTGGTTCAATTTTGATGAGGACATCGACAGACGCTACCGACATGTTTATCGACGAAGGAATCGCAGATCTACAGTTATGATTCAGTGCCTCTACTTTTGATACATTTTCATGTTATGTTTATTTAGTTATTTATTGTTTTTTGCATTTACCCCTTTGTGGAATTGTCTTGTTATTGTAGGCCAAAGGGCAATTTCGTACTTTTCCTTTTCATGATTGGAAACCTATATATAGTGGTCTAATGTGTTGTAATTTCTTTGAGGAATGATAAATTAAAATTTTCTTTTGACTTCTTCTTCTTCTTCTTCTTGTGTGAGCACTAGAGAGAAGGGAGAGAGAGAGAGAGTGAGAGAGCTCAAGGTGAGCAAGTGCAATACCCACCAGTCATTCGAAGAGTCTGTGACTCGTGGTTTCCATCTTCCCTCCCCACCTTCCTCTCCATACCCGCCGGCCAACAACCACCCTCCTACCGAGCTCCACCATTGCATTCATCCCAACTCAAATCCTACCTTCTAGAAGCACCAAATTCCCCTCTCCAACTGGTGGATCAACCTCCCCTCTTCACACCCGACGTCATCCCCCAAGCCCCCATTGCCGCCGACCTTCTCATTGGATCCACCTCAATTATGATGATTTCAATCATCATAATTCCCTTCCTAAATTAGCTCCATGGGAAAAGGAAAGTAGTTACCTTTGTTTGAAATTTGAAATTCAAATTTCAAATACTTTCCTTATTTGCCAATCTTAATTAGGAAAGTTTTTAGTCATGAATTCAATTTAAATTCAAATACATTGGATTTATTACTAGCTTTCCTAATTCACAAATCTTGTTTAGAAACTGTCCAAATCTCTTCCCCAATTCCCTCTCTCCCTCTCAATGTCGTCGGCCACCCATTTATGGCCCCCATTAATTCCCATTAAAGCCCTCCTATCCCTCCTTAATTTGAATTCAAATTTCAAATTAAATCCCTCCAAATCTACTTAAAATTTGAGACTAATTTTAGATTTGGATTAAAGCTCTTCCTCTCCCGCCCTAACCTAACCTAATTCTCCCTCATCTCAAACCGCCCCCTCTTCTCCACCCTTGGCCGCCCCTTTCCCTTGTGCCTTCCCTCTTGTGAAACCTTAGTTGCTCATAATACTTGAAGCCAAGAGAAGAAGACGACGTCCTCTCCCAATCTCATCAATGATGCAGGGCCGATCCTAAGATCGACCACGGCTTCGTATTCTACGAGCAAGGAAGGATGGATATTCTTGGATCCCCGTTCTTTGACGTCTTCTTTGGCAACGACGAAACTGTTGAAGGGTACGTTGACCGCATCTTGTAACAACTGAAATTGTCGATTGAAGAGCACCTTCCTCCAAGTCATTGGACCATCATCGGCCATCCACCGCCTCCTCCACCGCCAGCTACCTTTCCATCAACGAAGATCCTTGGCGCCGTCTTCTTCATGGTAATATCTTTCATCACTTGGTTCGTTTTTCTCCGCTAAGCCCAAAGAGTGCATGAGTGAGACGGTACTCAAGGTGAACCTCTCATTATTAAATGGTGGATTATGTTATGAGCATTTAGTACTTGCTATTTGTCTTGAATTTTGATTGGATTGTTCGGTTCATATCAAAAGCACTTCTTTGCCTAAGCAAGTATACACTTTAAATTCCTAATTCTTCTCTTTTTATAAGCAATAAGTTTTTCATTAGTAAGTTTTAATCAATTACGCTTTAATTTCTCAAGTAACTCCTTGTAGTTTCACATCAAATTTACTCTCTTTCCTACTGCTCTCTTTCCTACTGCTTTCTTATTTCCTCTACTGCCCTACTTATTGTGGTTTTTACCCTTCATTTTGTATGTTTTGGAGCGGTCAATTAAACAGCCAGATAGTCTATAGTTATTGCATTACGACCTTTTTAACATGTGCCATCTTCCCAGTTTCTTTTTTTTTTTTTCAATTGACCTTCTTGGGATGGCAGATACTGGAGTCGGCAACAATTCGTTTGCAGAACTGTAGGAGGCATTCAACAACTTATGGTAGTTTTTCGCATCTTCATCTTATCAACAAAACTCGTAAAAATTTGGGAAGATTAGTGATGGGAAATAAAAAAGGTGAATGCAAATAAAACAAATCCGATCATCTTTTAATACGTCTTGTTTCTGAACTAACTAGACTATAGGTTGTCCTTGAAAGCTGCCCGTTTTTAACACAATGAGAGTCTCCAGTTAGTTGAAAAAAAAAAAACGAATTCTTTCCATGTCCATTCCACCTTTTTGTACTTCTTGTTTCTGATTTATTAACTAGTTTTCGGGGTTTATCATTGTAATCTGCCTATTGTCGTTTACCACTTCGAGAGTCTAACCTTTGTTTGGCTCTTATGAAGATTTGCAGGATGCAAAGGAATATGCAATTCAGGCATGTAGGCCGAGAAGAAAACTGAAAAGCAGGAGCAGCTGCAACATTTAACTGGTCTCCCATCAAAGAGATGGCTGCTCTCTTGGCCTTGTTCTGCATTTGCACTCAGGATGGTCACATGTAGGACAGATTTGCTCGTGCATTTTTTTCTACATGCTCGAGGTAATTCTTTTTAGTTTAGTCCCACTCAGTGTTCAAAGATTTGTGCTATTATTGTGGCATCAATTACATGGCAATTACTTCAGTTTTTAATAATGATTCATTATGTTATCAGTTTAGGCTTTGTTTGGGACGGTTTTCCTAATGCTTCTTAAAGCAACTTTTTAGTACAAAAATTAAAAAATTTGTATTAAAAAACTACTTTAAGAAGCAATAAAAAAGCTGTCCCAAACGTAACCTTATTCTGTATTATTGAAAATATAATATTTATTTCATCTTGTTCATTTATCATTAATGTAATTTGCTATTCAATTACATTCTTCATGATTCTATGGCCACTAACTTCTCAAATGTTGTTGTGCAGTTTCAGAAATTGATCGGTCATTATTTAAACTTTTTATATTGATATATCCAGTTTTTAAATGAATATAAATGAAATGAGCATTATATAAATTAGTATTGAGTGTTCTAGTTTACATGCAGCCTTATGATATCATATATTGAGCAAAAAAAGCTTACATAATTCAATTTCAGGTGCTCTTACAGATGATGCGTTCCATTTGCCTGCCCAGTATAAGAAAAATCTGTGCTTCTAGCATAATAGAAGCTTGTACTCAGTGGTGGGATTTTATGAACATTTAAGAAGTGGGGCAAAACTGTGCAAGCTATAGCTCAAGTGGTATGATTTCTAATTTTTAAGATAGAGATAATTTGTTTGATTGGACTTATTTGTTTTAATTATAAAATATTTTATAAGTTGAAGTCACACTAGGATGCATCAAAACTTTTGTAGATGCCAGTTACAGGACCCATGTCAATGATAAATTTTGTATATGTATATATAAAGAATGTTGTGATGAAATAATATTTTGATTATTTCAAAAACAGATTTGATGAAATAAATACTTCATCTTGAGAAAGACTTGGTGTCTCGTTGTTTCTTGGTTTGATGAATTAGATTAGCCTCTCTAGTGGGAGATGTATTATACAATAAAATTGTTTTATCACTTTGGGAGACTAAGGCTTCATTTGGGATGACTTTCTTGTTGCTTCTTAAAGCAGCTTTTTAGTATAAAAATTTTAATTTTTTTCTTAAAAAGTTGTTTTAAAAAGCAACAAAAATCGTCCCAAACGAATCCTAAGATTTTATTAGGGACGGCTTTATTGCTGCTTTAACAAGCAGGAAGAAAGCCGTCCCAAATTAGGTTACATCACAGTTAATTGGCAATGCATTCTATGATGAGAACATATTTTTCTTGTAATATGGAATGATTACCTTTCATGTTTTGTTGCAACTGCTTAGCTTGCTCTTGAGCTGAATACATGGAGTTTAACTATGAAGAAGTTTTTGGAGTTCAAGAGAGTTGATGCAAGATAGGGTTAACTTTGAACAATTGCAACATCCATAGTTATATTTAGCTTTCTTGAACTATCAATCTAATTTGTATTTCTTTTATTATGAATTTTCCTTTGTAATGAATAGATATTTGTTGTGGTGTAAGAATGTCAAAAATGATAAAGGTTAAGTTTAACTTTAGTCCCAATGAAAAATCAAATGTTGTGATCTCACCTTGTTGACTCATCAAAGTTTAATTTCTTACTTGTTCAATTATTCAAAGGCCTCATAAATACTATAAAGTAGTGTGCCATCTCCTAATAACATGTAAAAGAATTATTAGCCATTGTGGTAAATTTAATAATGTTTGTTCAAACTCAAGCACATAGCGCTTCAACTCTACACACCAAAATCTTCATACAATTACCCCAAATAGCGAGCAATTATTACATCCGGTGTCCGAATGCGTTCAGAGACCAATAACCACGTGTCACGTCACCTAAAATTTGGTATTTTGGACTCGGTATTGCTTGGTATACATTCGGACCGTTCGGTTTTTGACCGGATGTAATAATTTCTCCCAAATAGCACTTGAAATTCCTTCCTAACAAGTAACATCAAAAGCTTTTTATAGCATTTCGACGCTTACCTTATGGCCTAAATTAGCTCTCCTCTTAGGATTCGTTTGGGACGATTTTTTTATTGATTTTTAAAACATAATTTAAGTACAAAAGTTGTCCCAAACAAACTCTTAAGACTTATTTGAGATAATTTTCTTTGTGCTTTTAAAAAAGCTGTATTAAATTAAGCCTAAGGCTTAATATGGGACAACTTTCTTGTTGCTTCTTAAAGTAGCTTTTTAGTATGAAAACTTTAATTTATGTATTAAAATTATTTTAAAAAGCAGCAAAAAAATGGTCCCATGTAAAGCCTAAATCTTCTTATAAGATTAGCCTCCTAAAAATAATCCAAAATCAGATAGCTTTCTTGAAACTTGTGGCCAACGTTAAACAATAACCTTCCCAAATTTTCCAAAGTCTTGGATAACTTATAAGGCTCTCATACATTTCAAAACAGTAAATGAATTGTATGATCTCAGTCCCCCATTTTATGAGTCCATCGTGCATTATACATCACAGTGATTATCAGAAATGTAGGGGGATTGGAGTTAAATAATTAGTGTATTATATGAATCAAAGCTACAACTATACTCGTGGCTCATATCTAAGGTTTCAGTTGGGATGATTTTCTTATTGTTTTTTAAAGCAGTATTTTAGCATAAAATTTTTTTGTATTAAAAATTTTTGTACTTTAAAGTTGCTTTTGAAATCATTAAGAAAGTAGTCCCAAACAAAACTTAAATTAAGCTACAAATGAAGATTGATGGTTTTTCTTCTTCTAAAAGCTACACAACATTGCATAATGTAATAAACTAACCGCTTGTTTGAGACAGTTTTTTTATTGATTCTTAAAGTTTTTTTTTTTTTTTTGAACAAAATTTTTAAGAAGACAATGGAGAAAAAGGATTCATGTAGCCGACCCCATGTAGTGGGATAAAGGCTTGATGTTGTTGTTGTTGTTGTTGTTGAACAAAATTTTTAATTTTGTAGTAGAAAGTTATTTTAAGAAGCAGTAAAAAAGTCGTCCCAAATGAAGCCTAAGACAATTCATCATAATAATCTCCGCAACAACAAAACCAATTCATGGAAATAGTGAATTAGCGATTGAGCCAAGATTTTCAAATGAGATGAGTTGGGAGAATTTACTAAACATTTGAGTGAAGATGCAAATCATCTATAATTTGTAATTTGAGTGGGAGAGTTTACCAATGATTTAAGTGAAGGGGCAGATCTTCTATTATTTACTAATTCTTTTAAGAATTTAAAGATTAACCCTTCATACTAAATATTCAAAAATAAAAAAAGAATTAGGAGGGTTAAGAGATCCTCCAAATAAATGATTTTTTTAAATAAGATTAGATAATAAAAGTTGATTACTTTTGATAACCAAACTAACTCAAGAATTAGATTAGTTAGTGGATAAGATCATTCAATATTATAAACATCATTGAACACAAAAGCATGATGAGATACTATTAAGATAGCATGCGAAAGCCATACTCACAAATAATTGTTAAAGTGATTAATTTATTATTAGATTATATCAGAGATTTCTCATTAAAATGAGCCACTTAATTAGTTTTTAATTGATTAGGCACTCATGCTCCATAATTAAGAAATAGCTTCCAAAACAACTCTCTTGAAAAAAAAAATTTGTCACAATCAAAATGGAATGTTAATTACAAAATATTGAAGTAGTAACTCGTAATGTAACCAGTCACCCTAGGGGTGGCAAAAAATGACCCAATCCTTCAATTCGATTTGAAAAATTCATGTTTGGGTTGACCCATTTAATAAACTGATCGGGTACAGGTCTCAAATTCTGACCTATTCATTAAAAGGTTATGTTCGGATTGACACATGAACTCGATTTTAGCTTGAAAGTGATTTGTATATTTTTTTTTTTAATTTAAATTCTTTTGCTTGTTGGAATAATCTCCTTATTTTTTTTATCAATTTATCTAAATTTGATAGGTGACAAATTATATTAAAAAAAATATATAAAAAAGAGTTATCAAGTCAGTTTCTTCTGACTTGGGTCTCTAGCGGGTTGGATTTGAGTCTATCATTTTGACTAGTTTATTAAACGAGCTGAATTCAAATTAATTGAATTTGAATAAGATTAATTTTGAAATCTCTTTTTGAAACCCCTACAGTAGCCTCATGACTACAGAGAGATTATTTTGTACAGAGACGAATTAGCTACGTCATCTAGTACCGAGCAATATCGAGTTCACTACCGAGCTTGGTATCGAGCAGTACCGAGTAGGGAGTGACGTGGCACATTTTTATTGGACTTTGGACGACGTTCGGCATCCGCACAGAATAATTCATCCATGAATTCTAGGCATTTTTTAAAATTTACTTAATTAATTTTTTTTATTAATTTTGTGCTTAAAAACTTCACCTTTCATATTTGAATCATTGTTGGAAGTGCGTAAGCGGTATGAATTTTTCTTAATTCACCCAAATGTAAAGAGAGAGAGAGAGAGAGAAAGTCAAGCACCCACAAAACTTAACTTCGTTTTAATCTTGGTTATAGCGAGTGAACTGTACCTTCTTCCCTTCTCTCTGCCTCTCCCTTCTAGGATGTCAATGGCTTCGTTGCTTCGAATAATACCATCCCCTCTCATTCTCCTTCTAATCTCCATCACGATTTCGGCCTCCGAATCACATCCGATGCAAGGGGCAAGCTTATTTGGATGAACCCTATCTTTTATCGCTAATCACAAGTAAAAAAAAAAAAAGATTTATAATTGTTGTTTGCGCTGCGATCTGCAGATTTGTTCGGTGGAGTGCGACACAGAGCTCACTTCTTCTTCGGGAAAGATTCTTATAAAGCAAGGAACTGTGGTCAACGCTCATCACAAGGTTCTAGCGGATGTTTACATAGAGGACGGGATCATCGTCTCTGTTCGCCCTAACATTGCGGTACATGGCTCCTTCCGGTGATTAATTCTTATTTCTATTTCCAAGGCTCTATATATGTATTTAGAGTAATGATACGGTTCACTATACAAAGAAATCAGCATCATTTTGTGTCATAAAAAGATATGCAGCTTTAAAGTTTTATCAAATATAAGATTTATTACCCTAATTTAAAATTTTATTAGATATAAAATATATTCTTCACTTATAAGGAGGTTTTAGAGAGAATGGCTCGGTTCTTATTTTATTAGATGCAACTCTTCTGTAAGGTCTTATTTTATTCGATACAAGGGTTTTTTGGTATCCTACTGCATGCAGGATTCAAGCAAAATGTAAATCCCACCAAATGAAATTTTAGAGACTTAATTTCAATACCTGTGCTGTAATTGAATTTTTTAAAATAGGACTTTCAATCCCCAACACTGTTTGGCAGTATTGAAGCTAAGGGGCTATTTGGTTGGCTTAAAAAGGAATGCAATATAAAAATAATTCATCATTGATGGAATACTTCGGAGTTGTTTGTATGAGTGTAAAATAAATGCAGATATTTTTTTTTTGCTAGAAGTAAAATGAATGTAGTGTAAAGTCTAAATATATTGTTGGTTGGTGGCCGAAAATGACAGTGATGGCGACCGGTGGAAGTCGGCAGCGAAGATCGGCGGCAACGGATCATAGGCCCCCGATGGTTGCGGATCACCGACGGCGACGACTAGGGCTGGCGATGATGGTTGTTGGCAGTGGAGAGTGGCGGTGGACGGTGAAGGGCAGCGGCCGCTGTGGATGGCGGCGATGGTCGTTGGCAGTGGCGTGTGGCGGTGGGAGGCGACGGGCGGCAGCAAAGGCTAGCAATGACAAGGCAATTTGATTGCGATGAAAGATGAATTTGGTCAAAAAAGTCGAGTTTTTTTTTTGGGAAATTTACATACATACCACTTTATAACATTCTATTTACATATCTAACACCTAAAACTTTAATATTACATAAATACCACCCTATATTATTTTAATATCAAATATACCACCCATATTTCCTTCCTACCACTCATATTTTCATTTCTACCACTCATATTTCATATAAAAATGAACTATGGGTGGCATATTTGTAATATTAAAGTTTTAAGTGTTAAATATGTAAATAGAATAGTATAAAGTGGTATGTATGTAAATCTCCCTTTTTTTTTCCCCTCAAAAATTAAGTAGAATACTTCACACTACATTTAGAAACTTTACACTGCATTCATTTTTTATTGAATCAAACATTAATATTTTCAAAACTCATACAAAAGGAGTACTTTACACCCACTTTACTTCAAACCAAAGAGCCTCTAAATATTGCCTGGGTCCTATCTAAAATATTATACCAAGCAGTCCCATAACTTGCTTCACTCATTATTTGGTAATTGATCCAAATATGCAAATCCTTTAAAGTCATTAATTTGGCGCATCCTTTAATTTAATAACTACTAAATATGAATTTGTCCATATAACCTTTCACATGGGTAGGTAATATGGCGTTTTTTGAAATGTGAATTAATAATTCTTGTTGTAGGTTTTGTCCGTATAAGCTGTCCATCTAGGGCATTACTTACCCTAATTAGTGTTATAAAAAATATGTATAGCTTTTAATTAGATATATACATGTTTTAAACAATTTTAATTCTAATCAAATATATTTTTAAGGTGTTTTACTTATAATTACTTTGATTCAAATATAAGCTCTCATCAGATCTAATATTTTTTTATATGAGATTTTATTATATACAAGCTTTTTTTTTAATTTAAGATATTTGACCTGAAAATAAGGTTTTAACGTTGATATTAGAATTGTCATAGACAAGTTTTTTTTTCTTTTCCACTATAATATAAAGGATTTCACATAGAAAAAAGGCATTTCATCTGGATGAAAATCTGTGTAAGTCTTTAATTTAGTACAACGTCTATGGAATAACTACGAAATTTGAATTTTGCCAAATAAACTGCCATATGGGTAGATGATATGGCCTTATTTTTAAATCTGAATTTTCTTGGGGAGTATTTGTAATTTCATGTAACTTTTTGTTTGCTATGTGAACCAAAAGTTGTTTTCTTTTGTGTAAATTTTGTTGTAGTCCAGTTGGTATGTATCTCAGGATCTTTCTTATCAGAGATGAAAATATGCTTTTTTTTCAGTATTTGTTATTAATTTAAAGAAAAATGTGGAGAAAGATTACAAGTTGTTGGAACCATTCATCTTCAGTCCTTTTTTGTTTTGTGGTGTTACCTTCTTGAAAGATGAGGCCAAGCTTGAATAGGATAAGCTTGTTGCTATAATTTGTCTTATTTTTTTTTTATGTTTGTTGTCTTATTTACACCGTTTCCATGGAACTCTTATGAACCATTGGTTTGGATATGGTCACCGGTGCCAGCGGACTACTAACATGATGGTTGATGCTGTGTCGTGGCACATTTGTATCTTAAATGAACATGGGTCTAAAAAAAACCCATTTAATTGCATAGCTTTATTTTATTGTTGTTATGCTCGCTATAATAAATACTGTTGTTGTCAGGTCCCAAGTCCTGAAAGAGAAAAGTGGAGGGTTGCCTTAGGTAGTCGACAACCAACATAAAATTTGTCAAATAATCATAACATGAATCATTTAATACATTGTGTTAATGTTAGGGTGTTTCCTGGAAGCGTTGTATTGGCGCCTAGGTGCAGTGTTAAATAAGCAAGAGTTCCCACATCATTGACAGATGTGAAAAAAAAAAGCAAGTCCAAGAACCTATATTTATGATAAGAACTTGGAATATAGACTCTCTTACAGCCAAATTAATGTAATTAATAGATATTATGATTCATAGGAAGATAAATATTCTATGCATTTATGAAACTAAATGGGTTGGAGAGAATCTTAAGGAGATTGATAGTTTATGATTTAAATTATGGTATTCTAATAAGAGTCGTACTACAAATAGTGTTAGCGTGATTATGTATAAGAGTTTAAAGGATAATATTGTAAAAATTAATAGAAATGAAGATAAAATTATAGCTTTAAAGATTATTATTGATGCCAAAATTATTAATATTATAAGTGTTTATGTTCCTCGAATAGTTTGGATATGATTTAAAATTAAAATTTTGAAAAGATTTAGAAGAATTAATATAGAAGATATCTCTTGAAGAAAAAAATAAATTGTTGGAGATTTAAATTCACGTGTTGATAGAGAGACAGATGATTTTAAAAGCATTCATGGTGACTATGGGTTTGGAGAGATTAATGAAGGTGGTAAGATTATATTAGATTTTTGTTTTGCTTATTATTTTATAATTGTTAATACTTTATTTAAAAAAAGAGATGAACATCTCATTACTTATAATAATGGATATAGTAAAATTCAGATTAATTATTTTCTTATAAAAAATAGATCGTTTAGATTACAAAGATTATAAAATTATTCTAAGTAAAAGTTTATGTAGCCAACACCGCTTATTAAACTTTTGGCTTTACCATCAAGTGTGGAAAAGTTGTTGGACCTGATGATCTTCCAATAGAGGTCTGGCAATGCTTAGGAGATGTAGGAATTTTTGGCTTATTAAACTTTTTAATATTATTTTGAAGATTAAAATGTTAGATGAGTGGAAAATGTGTGTTGATTCCTAGTTTTAAGAATAAAGGTGATGCACAATATTGCATGAATTATAGAGGAATTAAGTTAATGTGTCATACTTTAAAACTATGGGAGAGAGTTATGGAGCATAGGTTGCGGACTTGCGGCACGATACCAATATTTTTCAAAATCAATTTGGATTCATGCCGGGTAGGTCTACGATGGAAGCTATACATTTATTGAAATGTTTGATAGAGAAGTATAGAGAGAATAAAGAGGATCTGCATATTTAACAAAAAAAAAGAGGATCTATATATGATATTTATTGATTTAGATAAAGCATATAATAAATTTCTAAGAGAAGTGCTATGGAGAGTTCTAGAAAAGAAAGGGGTTAATAATGCTTATATTCAAGTCATTAAGGATATGTATGCAAGAGCTATTACTTGTGTTCAAACACAAGGTGGTTTGACCAAGTATTTTCCTTTTTCAGTTGGATTACATCAAGGATTAGCCTTAAGCCCATATCTTTCTTTTTTTAGTCATGGATGTTCTCACTAGACATTTGCAAGAGGTTGTACCCTGATGTATGCTTTTTGCTAATGATATTCTTCTTGTTGATAAGATTAGAGAATGAGTTGTAGGTAAACTTGAATTATGGAGCTTAACCTTAAGTAAAGGCTTTCATTTGAGTAGATCTAAAACTGAATATATTTTGTGTAATTTTAGTAATAATAGATATAGTGGGTGGATTGTGACTTTGGGTGATCAAGTTATTAATAAGAGTACACGTTTTCGATATATTTGATCTATTGTTTAGAGTGATGGTGAAATAAATGGAGTTATTATTATTAGAATTCAAGTTGGATGGTTGAAGTGGAGGAATGCATCGGGCTTGTTGTGTGATAGAAAAGTCCCCCTCAAACTTAAGGGAAAATTCTATAAGATCGTGGTTAGAACTGCAATGCTTTATGGTGCTGAATGTTGGCCATTAAAAGAGAAGCATAATATTAAGTAAGTGTTGCAGAGATGAGGATGCTCAAGTGGATGAGTGGCTTTACTCTTAGTGGCGGGATATGAAATGAGCATATATGTAAAAAGTTTGGAGTAGCTCCAGTGGAAGATAAGATTAAAAAGAGTCGCCTTAGATGGTTTGGTCACATAAAACGACGGCCTTAGGAAAATAGATGTATTAGATTTGACTTATGTTAAGAAAGGTAAAGGTAGACCTAAAAAGACTTGATTAGAAAAATATTAGAAATTACCTTTCTTTTTAGACTTAAATGTGAATTTGACTCTTAACATGACACAATGGAGAAAAAAGATTTATGTAGTTGACCCTATATTATTGGGATAAAGGCTTGATGTTGTTGTTTTTGTTATGCTCACTATAATGGTACGAGTACCAAAAAAAACTAGGGTACCTTGACAGTTTGGTTATAATAAAATATCAGGAATTATTTTTTTAGATGGAAGATATAACCATTCTTAGTTGTAGATGAAACCATGCATTGCAATAATGCGTCTTCATTTTAGGGCTTTTATTTATTTTTTTTAATTTTCTAGAACTGTAATCTTCATCCTCATTTTTTATTTTGGATTTACAGGTCCACTTATTTTTTGTAGGTTTGTTATAAAAGCTGCCTATTTTTTATGATTCAGCATGAACAAAATGATCTCAAAAGTTTTGGCTTACATTTGTTAACAATCCTTTCTTCAATTATAGGTCAACTCCTGGCTAGCATGTTAGCGCGTTACTGAATTGTCTTGAGCTTGATTTGTTATAGTGCTGATATCAATCCCATCTTTCCATCTTTCATCATTAATCTAGGTTGTTTTCTTTTTTCGAATGGTCATTTCCAAATTCTCATATACATGTCTCCTTTCTGCCCTTCGATCCCTAGTCCCTACACATACTGTTTTGGTGTCTTTAACAATGAAGGCACTAATGTTTTGGTGTCTTTATCAATGAAGGCACTAATTTAGTAAGAAAATGTTAATGAGAGATTATTAAATCCTCCATTTTTTTGTTCTGATCTTTCAATTTTTCTTTACTTTTTTTTTTGCATAGAAATATCTGATAAACCAAATGCCATGGCAGGTTGGTGATGATGTGAAAGTTATTGATGCTACTGGGAAGTATGTCATGCCAGGTCTTGTTTTCTGTTGCGTTGGAAATTTGTTTGTTTATACCAGTTATAATTTATTTTTATTAGGATTAAGGTGAATTTATTTTGGATATCATTCTCTGGTGTTGAATGGGATTTCCTTATACAAACAATTACAACTGTGACAGGTGGAATTGATCCGCACACGCACTTGGAGATGGATTTCATGGGAACTGGGACGATAGATGATTTTTACACTGGTCAAGCTGCTGCACTGGCGGGGGGAACAACAATGCATATTGACTTTGTTATTCCAATTAATGGGAATCTATCTGCTGGTTTTGCATCTTACGTGCACAAAGCCAAAAAGTCTGTCATGGATTATGGTTTCCATATGGCCATAACCAAGTGGGATGAAGCAGTTTCAAAGGAAATGGAACTCATGGTCAAAGAAAATGGTTTGAACATTCTTCTTGTTGAAAACTATTTTTCCGTTTTATATTCACTTGCTTGTTATTTGCTTACTCTGCAATATTAATTTAACCTACTGATTTGTGCTCAATGATTATATTTACCTTCACTGTTTTCGTACATGTACCAGGGATCAATTCTTTCAAATTCTTTATGGCATACAAAGGAGCATTGATGATCAATGACGAGCTTTTACTTCATGGTCTTGAAAAGTGCAAGTCTCTAGGTGCGCTAGCCATGGTCCATGCAGAAAATGGAGATGCTGTTGCTGAAGGGCAGAAGAGGATCTTTGATCTCGGAATAACTGGTCCAGAGGGGCATGCACTTTCAAGGCCTCCTGTGGTAATGCATTGACGGATATATTTCTATTTGAATCTTAATTTCCACCATTGATTTAGCCTGATTATTTTGTTAACTTTGAAAACTGTCTCAATCCACGAGTGAGCTTTTTATTTCGTACATACAATTGATGTTTCTTTCTTATATATATTACAACTTAGCAACTTGCATTTTTCATGACTTTTGCATTACTTCAGTATCATATTCTTATTTCTTGAAGATGCAAAATGTTACATATGTATATAAAAATTTTGTATAGACGGTTTCCTAAGACATAATTGTCTTTACCTATTTCTATTTTTTTATCTGCCCCAATTGCATGGTATCTACATCATACCTCCCTGTGATTGGCATTGTTTTCCGTCTAACAGATCATGTATATGCAAAAATGTTTTAGATTATGATATGCAACAACTATTTTTTAGCAATTTGTCTCTTCCCTCCTATGATGCACGGACATTATGACACAGGCACGACTCGACATGAACAAACAGGTCAATTATTAAAAATATAGGACAGATATAAGTTGGATGCACTATTGTAATTTTTATATTTTAAAAATAGTGTATATAAATTGAATAAATAGAATATTAAGTGTAATTAAGAAATAATAAGTTATCTTAAGAGGTTTTGTGCTTAGCATGATTAATATTAGGATGTTGATTAATATTAGGATGTTGAGAGTCAAGTATCGATGTCGTGTGTCTAGCATTGAGAGAGGAGATGACAGTATTGTCGAGAGTCAGGCATATTTATTCTCGTAGTTTCCAGAGAGTATTGATGGGAGCCTACACTTACTCGTTCATTCAGCTTACTAAATTAATAATGTCCACTAAGTGTAAACGGTTGACTGGACTTGAATAGTTCTACAGTTGAAAAAAAAAAACTATCATCCTATTTGGTCAAGAGAAAGCAAGGAACTAAACTGCGATTTATCTAATTAGCTATCATTAAATTCTTGTTTTTATTGGAATTGATCCAGAATTTGAAGTTTCATGCCATTCTATTGTAGTTGGAAGGTGAAGCAACTGCCAGGGCAATTCGGTTGGCTAGCTTTATTAATGCACCACTGTATGTTGTTCATGTGATGAGCATCGATGCCATGGAGGAAATTGCCAAAGCTAGAAAATCAGGTCACAAATTATTTCTTAGAAGATTACTTCATTTCTTGCTATATACTATGCCATGCATCTTTGTGACATTACATTGTGATTTTCCGTAACAATGTTTTAGTATTTTAAGGTTTACTTATTTGGCATATGCTCATAACTTTCTTGGTTTTGTTAGAGTTATGAATCCAGAGACTTGACACCTAATTTGAAGGTATGAAATTGCTTGCTTGGAGCATACCGAGTATTGGTGCTTAGATAAACAGGATAATATATTGGGCATGGATACTATCATGCCTTAGTGTCTTTAGTGCCATTTTCCCTTGTAGATGCGTGAGCTGCTTTATCTTTCTTCAAACAAAAATGGCTCCTGGTCTAATTTTTTAATTAGATGTGACAGGTGATGCACCTCAAAGCAGAGAGCCCTTTTTATTTGATCATACCAAATAGGCACTAGTAGCTGGAAAATGAATTGCTAATCTTTAGTTAGGCCATTGAATTAGATGTGACAGGTGATGCACCTCAAAGCAGAGAGCCCTTTTTATTTGATCATACCAAATAGGCACTAGTAGCTGGAAAATGAATTGCTAATCTTTAGTTAGGCCATTGAATTTGTCGGGCCAGCTCAAGAGAAAGTTAGTGGCAAGTGAACTTGCAAGTTGGGAACTTGGCTTTATGATGCAGGATATCTTAGGGTCTTTTACAGTCTAGATTTTTCTTTGTTTATCTCCAGCTACCATCTGAAATTGATTCGAGCAAGCATGCGAGAACAACAATCAACGGACTCAATGTCATGCATAATGGGGTTGAAACTACTCAATGTTGCTCATAATGAGCTCAAAGCCCCTCAACGTTGCACAAAATTGCTCAAATGCCATCCATTTGTGAAATGGTGTACGTCGATGTGTCAAGAGCATTAAAATTAATGAGAATTTGACCATTAATAGGACACAATGGAGAAAAAGGACATATAGCCGACCCCACATAATGAAATAAAGATTTGATATTATTGTTGTTGTTGTTATTGTATTTAAATGAGAATTTGACTCTTAACATGGCACAATGGAGAAAAATGATTCATATAACCAATCCCACAATGGGATAAAAACTTGTTGTTGTTGGAAGATACTTCTGTCCTCCTATCTCCCACCAGTCAGTATATTAGCAATTATAGACCTACATCAATTTAGTATTGAGTTGTGCAGAAGGATATCTTCTATATACTTCTTTCTGAAGTATTCAAATTATATTGCTATTCAAGTACCATTCCTTTTCCTTGGTCTTTTTTTTGTTTGCCAATATATTTTAATTGAAGTCAGTTCTTGATGGAACTTTCTATAATTGCATTCTCTGCTAGTATGCTTTTATTTTTTGATAATGTTTCTTCACTCTATATTAATTCTTCAATTCGCTTGAGAGTTGCAGGTCAAAGGGTTATTGGTGAACCTGTAGTTTCTGGTTTGACCCTTGATGAATCAGGGCTTTGGGACTCCGACTTCACAACTGCTGCAAAGCAAGAACCTTACTTATTTTTATTTTGCTTTTTTTTTTTTTTTTTCTGAAGAGTGGTCATGATACTAATGCTCGTTTCTTTCCTTCAAATAGATATGTTATGAGTCCTCCAATAAGGAGAACAGGACATGACAAAGCCCTCCAGGATGCACTTGCTACAGGAATTTTGCAGGTAGTAATAACTCTTTCATAACCTTGAAATCCTTTAAAAGCACTCAGGAACTATTTCCCTGTTTCACTTCTTTCTAGTTGGTAAAGTTTCTGTTGAGCACAGCCCATGGGCTATATATACTCTCGTTGATTGGAGAAATGAAGCAATAAAGTGAAGACTTGTTAAAACTTACTACCTTGTGTAACTGCAAAACAGAAAACATAGCTTACCGAAAAAGACTAATTGTAGGTAGTGTGATATGCACTTTTATTTTACTCCATAGAGCTAAATACTTATTATTTTACAAACAAAAAATTTTATCTTTAACTTCCAATTCTCAATTTCTTACGTAATATGCTCCACTAGTCATTTGCAGATTTTAATTTTTCTAAATTTGTGAGAGTTGAGAAACTTCAAAAAATCTTTCTCATGTGGTGCAGCTTGTCGGAACTGATCATTGCACATTCAACTCAACACAAAAGGCATTTGGGTATGGGGACTTTAGAAAAATTCCGAATGGCGTTAATGGTATGTTGCAGAATCTATGGATCGTATCATCTCTATGTTACTTTGTGATTGAATTTAGGCCCTTCTTTTAACCTCATTTATCTAAAACAAAGGTATAGAGGAAAGGATGCATCTTGTCTGGGAGACAATGGTGGTGAGCTGATTTATTTCAGATCTGCTTCAAATAAAACAAGCTGGTTCCATTTATACATTATAGTGCCAATGAAAGATTTGGGTTTGATCTTCATTAATACTTTACAAACATTGTAATTTCAGGAGTCTGGGAAAATATCTGTAACAGATTATGTGCGTATAACAAGCACTGAATGGTATGATAAGTCTATTAATTTTGTCAGAATTTCTTTTCTAGAATTTCACTTCATGTTAACATGGAGAATGAGCATCTGTGTGAATCACATATATAGAACTAATTAATAATTCTCTTTGCAGTGCTAAAATATTCAACATATATCCTAGAAAGGGAGCAATTCTAGAAGGTTCTGATGCTGATATAATTGTACTCAATCCTAATGCAAGCTTCAGAATATCTGCTATTTCTCACCATTCTAGATCTGATACTAATGTGTATGAGGGGAAAACTGGGAAGGTAAGTTTTGGCTCGCAGTTACGTAATATCAATGTTTGAAGCTTTACTTTCTAACTATTTAGAGTCCAAATCAATTTTGGTTTAGTTTCTTTCTCGTAGTAGCCATGATCTGACCTGATTTGGGCAATTTTCAAATATACGGAAAAAAAAAGTTTTGAGCTATTTTAAATCCCTCAAAATTTTATCTTATTTTCTTGCAAATCAAACATAAAACGGCGGCCTTCCAATGACCCAGTTAGGAGAGTAGAGGTATTAGATTTGACTTATGTTAAGAAAGGTAGAGGCAGACCTAAAAAGAATTGGTTAGAAAATATTAGGAATGACCTTTCTTTATTAGATTTAAACGAGAATTTGACCTTTAATAGGACACAGTGGAGAAAAAAAGATTCATGTAGCCGACCCCACGTAATGGGATAAAGGCTTGATGTTGTTGTTGTTGTTGTAAATCAAACAAAAAAATTATGATCCAGGGAAAAGAAATGCGATACACTCTTAATGCTTCCGACCAAACAGCCCATGTCGGGCACAGATTATCAAAACTCATTTCTGTTTGCATAGGGTCATTCCAGGATGTGTTGGCTTTATGAGATTAGCTTTCTAAATTTTTTTCAGACTCCTAAAATTTTCCTCTCATGCATTATTAGCTTCCCTGATGGGATTATTTTCTTCAGGGCAAAGTGGAGGTGACAATTTCAGGAGGAAGAGTGGTCTGGGAAGAGGGAAATCTGAAGATAACTTCAGGTTCCGGGAAGTACATAAAAATGCCACCTTTTAGTTATCTATTTGATGGCATTGACAAGGCAGATGCTGCTTATCTAGCTTCTCTTCGTTCTCCAGTTCATAGAACAGGAGCAGCTTACTGAGAACAGCAGCCTTGAATGAGATTTAGGTTTTGTTTGAGACGGCATTTTTATTGCTTTTAAATCAAATTTCTAGCACAAAAAATATATTTTTTATATAAAAAGCTGCTTGTAAAAAAACAGTCCCAAACGAAGCTTTATATGAGTATAATTCATAAAAGCTTTTAATTACATAACTGGTACTTTATTTTCAAGGATGTTAACCTTTTAAAGTGCTTCTACTTTGAGGTGGTCTATGAAGAGATCATCAATTATCAGTATATATTTGAAGTATTGTATAATTAGCTTTCTTGTACATATTCATTTATATGAACAATAATATTGTTTAGGTGAAAGAACTCGCAGAATTTTGTAGGAAAAATGCCTGTACTAAGCATAAAAACTGTTTTTGCTTTCTAGTTTTGGTTTATTGTTTAATAATTTCAACGAAGAATTCAGCTAAAACTTTTGCTTCTTTTTCATTTAAATGAGCATTTGACTCTTAATAATAATATTCAGAACTGTGGGATAAAAGTTTGATGTTTATTGTGATAAACGACAGCTATTTAATGTTATTTAGTTATAATAATCATATTTTTTTAACATAAACCAAATTTAATCCATCCACTTTCCTAATTAGGTCATTGTCCCAAATAGTTCCCATTAAGAATTCGTTTTTATTTTAGTCCCCAAAAGTTCGAAAATAACATAAGCTTCTAATGGGCTACTGTGTAACAAAATGAAATCTTGCCAATTAATCCACTTTCGTCCATCAGAAAAGGTCTAATAGCCTTGAATGCATAGATTACTCCCATGCAAATTATTCATAGGATTAAGTACAGTTCAGCAATGCAGAAGATATTAAAGGCTACTAAGCAAAATCTACATTACTGCTTTATAAAAATTTTACAGATAAATTAATTTTTTAATTATTATAGAAAATAACTTTCTAGTATAATTTTAAAAAATTTAATGATCAAATAAAAATTAAGATTACAGCTTAAAAAATAGAATAATAAAAAAATTATCTCAAACCAAGCCTTCATTAGTACAGACTAATGGGAGTAACTAACCTAATTGAAAGCAGCTAAAATTAGCAATTAAGAAAGGATTAAACAAAATGCTTTAGTTTTACCAAAAACCCTAAATATACCAATCAATAATAGATTCCAGACCTTAAAAGCATGCACAACAAACAAAGTGAAAACTACGATCGATCAACATCAGAAAATCTCAAAGCCAAAGCACAAACTCGCAACACAAAACACACTATAGTTAATCCGAAGAACTACTGCAGCTAAGCAAATAAGGCTACCTAAAAGAAGGGAAATTCATTCAAAAGTAGTACTCGTATGCAGATAAATATTGCTCCTCTCATTTGGCCATCATGATCTTGACAAATTCTTCATAGTTGATCTGACCGTCTCCATCAACATCAGCCTCGCGAATCATCTCATCAACCTCCTCGTCGGTCAGCTTTTCGCCGAGGTTAGTCATGACATGGCGAAGTTCGGCGGCCGAGATGAAACCATTTTGATCCTTGTCGAACACGCGGAAGGCTTCCTTGAGCTCCTCCTCGGAGTCGGTGTCCTTCATCTTGCGAGCCATCAGGTTAAGGAATTCAGGGAAATCAATAGTTCCATTGCCATCCGCATCAACCTCGTTGATCATGTCCTGTAGCTCTGCTTCGGTGGGGTTCTGACCAAGAGATCTCATTACAGTTCCGAGCTCCTTAGTGGTAATGCAACCTGTAGAAACACAAGCGAATAAACCATAATTAATAATGCTGTTGTGAACCACGGTAGGCATCTTCTGGTTAAGTTTTTGGAGAGCAAAGCAGCTGAATTGCATTAACAAATGAGGATTGCAGAAAGAAAATATTAAGTCAACAATCCCTTAGAAAAAACCACAGTATAGTTAAGTCAGTGTAATTGCTTATTTTCATCAAAAAAAATATAGATCAAGATGTCCTTATCAAAAATTAAGATGAATGTCACAGTTATTAAATTTATTTTAACATGAGTGCAATGACGAATCGAAACAAGATACACTTATCTCTAAGCAAAAACCCTCACAAATTTGACTCCAATCTGACTAAAGGTTATCCTGAGCCAATTTTATTTTTTTTCATTTTCACCTCTTTTGTAGAGGTAGACCTAAAAAACTTGGCTAGAAAATATTAGAAATTGAATTTTTTTTATTAAATTTAAATGAGAATTTGGCTCTTAACAAGACACAATGGAGGAAAAAGATTCATGTGGCCAACCACACATAGTGGGATAGAGGCTTGATATTATTGTTGTTCTTATTGTCACCTCTCTTGTAAAGAAACTAAAAATAATCATGATAGCATTGAACAACAAAATTATAAAAATGCGCAAGAGTTGAAAGGTGCATAGCTTGATCATGTAAAAGTAGGGTCAAACGCTTATTTGGCAATAGCAAATATGGGAGGCCAAAAGAATTGGGCTAGAAAAAGGGCTCATGCTTTCATCATTCTTCTTGATCAATAGAATTGGGTTAGAAAAAAGGCTCACACTTGGCCTGATGATTCCTGCTTCCAACATCTCCCGTATCAGCTTCTCAACCTCACCCTTCTAGATATGGGGGTAGCGGTAAGGCCTAACACTGATCGATGATACCCTCTCCCTTAACGTGATGGCGTGCTTCTGTCCACAACCCCTTAGGTGGCTGAAAAACCTCACTGAATTGTTGTATAACCAGCCATTACTAAAAGAGCGATGTCCCCCCTTCCTCCACTCTGATCACCTCCAAACTCGTAGCTCCACCAAAAATCCTCCTCCCACCTCCATTATGGCTCTTACAATGATTTTTAGAGACACCATGGCTTTGGAGAGTCCTGCATCTCCCTTAATCATCATCCTTCTCCCTTCCACCATCAGCTCCATTATCAAGTCCCCAAAAATCCTCCTCCCACTTCCCCCTCCTCAACTTCCTCGTCATCACAAACGGTGAGAACATGAATTGTTTGGTCCTTACACCTATACCCCGACATGTACTTCTCATCACATCTGAAACATAATCGCTTAGCTCGTTTATCCTGCACCTCTGCTTCTGTGAGTCACTTGAAGTTGCCTCCCAGACAAACTCCATTGCTCTTCTCCCTAGGAGCTTCTCTCTGAAAGAATATTATCTAGGTTATTGGTGTTAGAGTTGTATAGATACTCCTACAAGCCCCTCCCATGATATTGTTTTTATTGGACTTTTCCCTCCTAAATTTTTCCTCCACCCTTTTAACAAGCTCAATCGTCTCTCTCAATTCCCTAAGCCTCAATACCTTGAGCCCTGCCCGTATGTCATCCCTATGCCCCTTCATGAAATTCCCCTTCAATCCTTCCACAGAGATTTCCTCGGTCTCCTCGACAACAGTTCGAATTTCTTCCAATACTCCATAATTGTCCCTTCCTGAGTTAGGGCATAGAATTACTCATGGATGTCTCCTTTCCGAATGGCTCAAAAACGTTCCAACAAGCACACCTTAAATTCATGAGTAGATCGGATACCTAGCCTCCCTCCATTGGAACCAGGTTAGGGCTTTGATGTAGAACGGAATTGATGGCAGCAACCTGTAATTATCCGATCAGCTGGATAGCAGCCGGGAGGCCTCAGATAACTTTCCTGGCTGATTTTGGCACTTCTGGATGGGGGACAGCAATCAGGGATCTACCAACCAGTTGGAAAGCAGGTCACAATGCAGGAAAAACTCATGATAGCCTTTGGGAACTATCTAAACAGCAATATAATAAGTTTAGGTGCTAGGATTTGATGTGGGCAACGGGTAGAGAGAAAGTGAGAGGGTCGGCCGGTGGCATGAGGGGGGAGGAGAGGGATTAGATGAGGGTTTAATGACTTGCCTAATTAATAACTTCCAATTATGATTGATTGGATTAAATCACTCTCAATTTGAATTTGAATTAACTAAAATTCATGGAGTGATTAGGGAGTCATTAATGACAAGGAATAATGGAAAGGAGAGAGGGGTGGACCGGCCTAGAGAGAGGGGGGGAAGTTGTGTCCAAGTTCAATGAATGCGGACCAAGCAATGAATTGTAATTAATGACTATATCTGAGAATTAATCTCAGGCTTAGGGTGATTGAAGATTATTTTCTTCAAGGGCATAGGCTTAATTAGAAAGCATTTGAAATTCAAATTATTTTGAATTTGAATTCAAATCCTTTCCTAAAACACAAGGGGCTAAATGTGGAAGGTATTAATGGGGAAGTTAATGTGAGATTAAAAGCTTTCCTAAATTAATAAATTAAATTTGGAATGAAAGATTTCATTCCAATTTAATTCAAAATTTAAATAGACTATGAATTAGTAAGTTTCCTAAAATAGGATTGATAAATTAGGCAACTATTCAAATTCAAATAGATTTGAATTTAATCATCAATATGGTTACCTAAAATATGAAAACTAATTTAGGAAAGACTTAATGGCAAGTCGAGATTGGAGGAAACTAAGTGGAGGGCGGGTGGCTTGAGGCTTGGCCGTAAGTGGTGGTGGAGCTGAGGCCGGTTTGGTGGAAGTAGGGAGAGAATGAAGATGACGACTAGGCACAACAAGAAGGAACAAAAACAAAAGATACAAGATAAAACCGCGAGCCTTGAACTCTTCCGAAGGCAGACAGGTGATACGTTGCACTTCTCCAAGGGACTTCACGCCACGAGCCCGGACTCATCATGCGGCTGGTGGAAACTGCACTTCCCTCCCATAGGAAGCTCACCCAAGTTCTCTCCAAAGAACACAAGTGCAAACAAAATTTCTTTTCTTAATAATTCATCATCGATCTAATACAAGAGCAAGAGCCTCTATATATAAGCCTTACAAAAAATGAAAAGACAACTTTGCCCATTGGGCTTACATAAGACAAGATCCTTAAATAAGGGTAAAAACAAAATTTGCATAATTAAAAATAAAAATTACAAATAAAATTTAAGATAACATAGGACAATCATGGCCGTCGATCTTCAACTCCGCCTCGGATAGGCATAGATGGTTGGATGTCCGCATCATTCTCCCGGGGTGGAAAAGACTCGACTCCGTCGAGGTCGCGTCCCGAGTGAGCAACCATGCTCTGATACCAAACTGATGTAGAATGGAATTGATGGCAGCAACCTGTGATTATCCGATCAACTGGATAACAGTTGGGAGGCCTCCTTGAACAGCTTTCCTGGCTGATTTTGGCACTTCTAGATGGGGGACAGCAATCAGGGATCTAACAACCAGTTGGACAGCAGGTCACAATGCAGGAAAAACTCGTGACAGCCTTTGGGAACTATCTAAACAGCAGAAGAATAAGTTTAGCCTTAGGTGCTAGGATTGGCGGGTAGAGAGAAAGTGAGAGGGTGGGCCGGTGGCATGAGGGGGAAGGAGAGGGATTAGGTGAGGGTTTAATGGCTTGTCTAATTAATAACTTCTAATTAGGATTGATTGGATTAAATCACTCTCAATTTGAATTTGAATTAACTAAAATTCATGGAGTGATTAGGGAGTCATTAATGGGAAGGAGAGAGGGGTGGGCCGGCCTAAAGAGGGGGGGAAGTTGTGTCCAAGTTCAATGAATGTGGACCAGGCAATGAATTGTAATTAATAACTAAATCTGAGAATTAATCTTAGGTTTAGGGTGATTGATGATTATTTTCTTCAAGGGCATAGGCTCAATTAGAAAGCATTTGAAATTCAAATTATTTTGAATTTGAATTCAAATCCGTTCCAAAAACACAAGAGGCTAAATATGGAAGGTATTAATGGGGAAGTTAATGTGGGATTCAAAGCTTTCCTAAATTAATAAATTAAATTTGGAATAAAAGATTTCATTCCAATTTAATTCAAAATTTAAATAGGCAATGAATTAGTAAGTTTCCTAAAATATGATTGATAAATTAGGCAACTATTCAAATTCAAATAGATTTGAATTTGATCATCAAGATAGTTACCTAAAATATGAAAACTAATTTAGGAAAGACTTGATGGCAAGTGGAGATGGGAGGAAACCAAGTGGAGGGCCGACGGTTTGAGGCTTTGCCGTAAGTGGTGGTGGAGCTAGGGCCGATTTGGTGGAAGTAGGGAGAGAATGAAGATGACGACTAGGAACAACAAAAAGGAACAAAAACAAAATATAAAAGATAAAACCACGAGCCTTGAACTCTTCCGAAGTCTGACGGGTGATACATTACCCTTCTCCAAGGGGCTTTCACGCCACGAGCCCGGACCCATCCTGCGGCTGGTGGAAACTTCACTTCCCTCCCATAGAAATCTCACCCAAGTTCTCTCCAAAGAACACAAGTGCAAACAAAATTTCTTTTCTTAATAATTCATCATTGATCTCATACAAGAGCAAGAGCCTCTATATATAAGTCTTAAAAGAAAATGAAAAGACAATTTTTCCCATTGGGCTTACATAACACAAGACCCTTAAATAAGGGTAAAAAGGAAAATTGCATAATTAAAAATAAAAATTACAAATAAAATTTAAGATAATGTAGGACGATTACGGTCGTCGATCTTCAGCTCCTCGGATAAGCATGGACGGTTGGATGTCCGCATCTGGCTTTCTTTTCCAAACATAGACCCGCCACCATTAGTTTTTCCCTTTCAGTCTGTTCCTTAATAACAAAGTAACGTTCCACTAAGTACACCCAACCCTGAGCATCCTCTCCTTCAAAGACCAGCATCTTTAGCTTCCTTGATCTCGCATCCACACCCCAATGGTTTCTTACTTCG